TATTTTTATGTCACATGATCTGTGAAGACTCCAAGCATTCAATTAATGAATTATGGACAACTCATGAACTAGGGTGTAAACATGTTGTTTTTATTCAACTGTTGTAGGCCTATTATATTGAATGTAGGTTACATATTCTGCGTGTGTTTGTGTGTAAAAATTGCCTAGGCTGAGAGGGTAGGATACCGGCAGTGGAGTAGGACTAGTGGAGGGTAAACCCAAGTAAACGCCATTTACCCACGTTTTTCAGAAAAATGCATTGAAAGTATAGGGAGCGTTACTTTTCTTCCCCCCACCACGACCGGAAATCAGAGTTTACCCACCAATGTTTACCCCCCGTGTAGCTCAGTTGGTAGAGCATGGCATTTGCAACGCCAGGGTTGTGGGTTTGATTCCCACAGGGGGCCAGTATGAAAATGTATGCACTCTAACTGTAAGTCACTCTGGATAAGAGCGTCTGCTAAATGACTAAAATGTAAAAACAAAAGGTATTTTCCGGCAATGAGCAAATTTCAGGTCTGCTGAGCGAAAAACGGAACATTAAATTCTGTGCAACTTCCAGCGCGCGTTTACTGTGAACACTGAGGCTATACCCGCTTTAAGTTAGTTAACAGTAGCCATGTAGGCTACTTGATCATAATGTAGGCCTATCAGAGTGGCCTACCACCAAAAACCATGGAGAAAATGTATTCCATAACATTTGAACATGGAAATAGCTGCTCTGTCATTCAGCCGACAGTAAAAGCCAATGTGTTGTGTTAAATGTAGGCTTGACATTAACCTGTTTATCCACTTGTCCTTCAGACAAGGAGGTGACTGAAAAATGTTGTTGGATGCAAGAAACCACTTTACAAAATAAAATGCATTATTATTCCCATACCCTTATTACAGAGGATCAGACATTATGCTACCCTCTGCCTATTGGCTACTTAGCTTATTCAAGCAGGTCTCAAAATACAACACTGCCCCTTTTAAGACAAAAAAAGCTCTTTACCTGACTCGCTTTTCAAAGAGGTCTAGAAATATACACGTTTTGTGCTCTTGTAGGGAGCAATCACTCCCCTATTGCTGACTACAAATGATATATAACTGGGCTAATAACTCACTAACTACATTTTACATTTACATCATTTAGCAGACGCTCTTATCCAGAGCGACTTACAAATTGCACTAGCAAAGGATATTAACAAAATGTGCACAGGTGGCTACATGCAGCTCTCGCTTTGATCTCAAAACAAGCGCATCTACTCACGACCGCTCATGCTGTAAACACAGTCCAGTTCAAAGTAAATGGCACAGATCCATATATGGCAATGGTCTATTTGCATATAGGCCTACTGCAGCTCTGATTGTTTGTGCCACACCGGTCTGTATAGAGTACGGGCTGAGTTGTGCATGTCAACACAATAGAATCCTACTCCGATGTGTTCTGCCTACAACAAAATCCCTTGCATAGTTCGTTTTTGTTTCAGTATGTTGCATTGAAAGTGGCTAATATTGTGTTGATTCGATCACAATTGCCACAGTAAAGGGAAACGTTGATTGTGTTAACAGGAAAAACTCTAGAATAGTGGTCAACAACCTTTTCTGAGTTAAGATAACGGAGTTAAAATACAAGCCGAGATCTACCACTCAGATTTTTTTTTTTTTTTAATGACTTAAACGTAAGTCTATGCAACATTAACCAATTGAAAACAATACTGTATCAATGAAGTTTGTGCAGTAAGCTATAGACCCAATACATAATCACAGCATATTGGATTGCTTGAATTGCCCTGCCAATGCATTGTTCTGGCCATTAAAAAATATATATATATTTCAACATCATTTTAGGTAGGCTATATAATCACACCGGTAATAGATCTGTTGTTGTATTACTTGTGAAGCACAGCTGAGTGAGCATACATTTAAATAATATGCTTTTTCTTTTATTGGGCTGATGGTGCCTGCAGCAGACTGTTTCGCCTCAACATCCCTCCACTCTCCCTTTACCAAAAAGGGACACAGTCTTCCAGATGATGGTGAAACTCAAGTCGCACCGCATTATTTCTGCCTCATGCACAATTTCATGTTGTTACTCCTATGAACAGAGAAAGTGAAATATTCTTCCATATTTAAAAAAAGACCCAAGCCGCAAATAACGCAAGAGTACAAATACCCTTTCCTACTCATTCATTACAGCTGCAGTGCTTGTTGTAGTGCTGAGTCGAACTAGGAAGAACGCACATTTTATGGCTCAAAGTGTTGAATACAATATGTTGACAGTGCTAAGTAAGAACTTTAACAAACTCACTCATAAAAACAGAATCTCTTTGCTGTATTCGTTGACAGTCTCTCTCTAGTAAGAGTTTTAAACGTTTTGAAATCTCACAATATCAACTTTGCTGTAGCTTTATTTTATGCTTGCTACGTTACTGCAGACACGGTCATCTGAGCCATGCGTTTGGCCAGCGGTAGACCTATAGTGCACTTGATTTGCTCTCTGGACCCGCCGGGAAGGCAGAGTTTCGCTAAACGGGTGCACCTAACGAAAACAGCCCGAGACGAATACAAAAATAAAAATAGGAACAAGACTTTATCGTTGGGTTTTTTACAGAAATGTTTGGCTCGTGCATCTCTCTGTGGGATAATATCTGCACGGCATTCTCCGGGCAACAGTTTAGAGGGAAAACTGTTTCCCACCAGAAATGTTTTTACCACTACGTCACTGGCTACGGTTAGGCCTATTTGAAGTTCATGGCAATACACATTGTAGCCTAGCCTTGTAAATTCACCGTCCCGTTTTCAGCCCCATTTCAGGTCTCCAGACTTTACAGGCTACATAAAAGTATCATTTGTCGTCAAGACTCATCAATTAATGCATTCGCCGAATGTCATTAGGCACACTCTGTTTAGTAAACAGATGACTATTTCCATTCATATGAAATGGCGCGAGTGTACATACAATGCACTGATTGGATGCTGGGATTATTTTGGAGTGGACGAACATGCACAGGTAGCTTGCTTTCTGAAGTCATTTGTTTGACAAACATTAAGACATGACTGGTTGTGTTCATGCCAAATTTAAAGGTAATTCATTTTCACGTCATTATTATTAGGCCCGTAAGACCCCGAATGTCACGATGTAGTTCGCACTCTGAACATTAGCAGTGTGGCTAACGTTACACCATGTTAATGACGTTCAACGTTTTATATGATTTCAAATGCCTTTACATGGCATACATGTCCACATTGTGTTATTCTACCCACACAACACACTTCTTCCACAAGCAACAAAACAGTATGATGAGAAAAGGCTTATGCAGAAGCCCGGTTTGCTAAACGCAAGTTGTTTCTCTAACGTTAACGCTACTGATGTTAGCAAGACCACAGATGTAAGGGGAAACATTTGTGACCGACATTAGCAGGCTAGCCAGCCAGCTCGTAACGTTTTTAGCCTCAACAGTGCCGACAGAATTGTAGGTTACACAAAAGTATATATGGTAATAAAGCTAGCGGTAGCCAGGTTGGATAATCAATTATGCTAGCTATCTTACGTTAACTAGCTAGTCAGTTAACCAGCTTAGCTAGCTGGCTACGTTAGCTAGTAACACGTTGTTATTTAGCTAGTTATATTAGCTCCTTGATTGCGAGTTGGCGTCTAACGTTGTTAGTTGAATAAAAATAGACGGCATTACCTTGGGGAAATCCTTCGTTTCACCACACGAAGCTTGAGAAATGGTTCTTTGTCGTTGTTGTTAGCTACCACGCCTGCGAATAATAGCTAAAGAAACCGTATTTGAATTTGCAACCGCTTCCGGTCCACCACGGTTAATTTAACTAAATGCAAATTATACTCTTTTCAGTTCCGATTCTACCACAGACAAAATAGGTTCGTTATCAGGATCTTTGATTCTACTTTGTTCTCCTTCTGTGGGGTTTCATGACGGTTGGCGTGATTTGTTCTGCTCATAGTATTTACAATAGGATAATGGCCATGATTACTTTATATGATATACACCAGGGTTCTTCAATTCCGGTCCTGGAGGGCCGAAACACTTCAGTTTTTTATTTCTACCTGGTAGTTAATTGCACTCACCTGGTGTCCCAGGTCTGAATTAGCCCCTGATTAGAAGGAGAGGATGAAAAACAGAGGTGTTTCGGCCCTCCAGGACCGGAATTGAAGAACCCTGATATACACCATGATCAGTGGTGGAAAAAGTACCCAATTGTCATACTTTGGTAAAAGTCAAGCTACCTTAATAGAAAATGAATCAAGTAAAATTAAAAGTCACCCAGTAAAAATACTACTTGAGAAAAGTCTAAAAGTATTTGGTTTTAAATATACTTAAGTATCAAAAGTAAAAGTATACATAATTTCAATTTCCTTATATTAAGCAAACCAGAAGGCACCATTTTCTTGTTTTTTTAAATTTCGTATAGCCAGGGGCACACTTTACAAATGAAGCATGTGTTTAGTGAGCCCGCCAGATCAGAGGCAGTAGGGATGTTCTCTTGATAAGTGCGTGAATTGGACAATTTTCCTGTCCTCCTAAGCCTTCAAAATGTAACGAGTACTTTTGGGTGTCAGGGAAAATGTATGGAGTAAAAAGTACATTATTTTCTTTAGGAATATAGGGAAGTAATAGTTCTCAACAATTATAAATATTAAAGTACAGATACCAAAAAAAACGACTTAAGTAGTACTTTAAAGTATTTTTACTAAAGTACTTTACACCACTGACCATAATAAAAAAAAACACCCATAACATGTATTTTCATAAATAACTTATATAATAACTATATATTCTTCCTCCTCCTTCCTTCTATCCTTACTTCCTTGTTTCCTTCCTTCCTTTCCTATAATAAGATACTTTGGGAAGAGTCCCACATTGTGCATGACTGTGTTTGTGTTGTGTGGGACACCGTTTTTAAATTGGTCTTGCCCAATTTGTAGTTTCATACTAAACAGCAATTAGTGTGTTTTAGCTGATGTCTTCCTGTTGTGTTTCGCCTGGCAGGTCACTGTTCCCCTGAGTCAACTGATCAATGCCCTCCAATACCTGAAGACCGCAGTGGGCAGCAGTGCCACTGCTGAACCTCAGCACAGAGAGCATGCCTCTGAACAGGACTTGCAGAGCACAGAGGTACGCACACGGCCTACAGCTTGCAGATCTGCCAAGAACCAAGGCAAAGCAGCTGGCAATACTGCTCTGTCCAGCTGTCATGGGCAACCTAGCTATATGGAAAATAAAGGGATTTCTGTATCCATAAGTGGCATGGAACTCTGTGTTGTTTTTATCGCACTGCTTTGCTTTATCTTGGCCAGGTCGCAGTTGTAAATGAGAACCTGTTCTCAATTGTAAATGAGAACTTGTTCTCAACTGGCTTACCTGGTTAAATAAAGGTGAAATAAAAAATAAAATAAAATGTACAGTGCTTTCGGAAAAGTATTCAGACCTCTTGACTTTTTCCACATTTTGTTACGTTACAGCCTTATTCTAAAATTGATTTAAAAAATAATCTCATCAGTCGACACACAATACCCCATAATGACAAATCAAAAACAGGTTTTTAGCCATTTTTGCTAATTTATTCCCAATAAAAACAGCTATCTTATTTACAGTATTCAGACCCTTTGCTATGAGACTCAACATTCAGCTCAGGTGCACCCTGTTTCCATTGATCATCCTTGAGTTGTTTCTACAACTTGATTGGAGTCCACCTGTGGTAAATTCAATTGATTGGACATGATTTGGAAAGGCACACACGTGTATATAAAAGGTCCCACAGTTGACAGTGCATGTCAGAGCAAAAACCAAGCCATGAGGTCGAAGGAATTGTCCGTAGCGCTCCGAGACAGGATTGTGTCGAGGCACAGATCTGGGGAAGGGTACCAAAAAATGTCTGCAGCAATGAAGGTCCCCAAGAACACAGTGGAAGAAGTTGGAACCTCCAAGACTCTTCCTAGAGCTGGCCGCTCGGCCAAACTGAGCAATCGGGGGAGAAGGGCCTTGGTCAGGGAGGTGACCAAGAACCCGATGGTCACTCTGACAGAGCTCAAGAGTTCCTCTGTGGAGCTGGGACAACCTTCCAGAAGGACAACCATCTCTGCAGCACTCCATCAATCAGGCCTTTATGGTAGAGTGGCCAGACAAATGCCACTCTTCAGTAAAAGGCACATGACAGCCTACTTGGAGTTTGCCAAAAAGGCACCTAAAGACTCTCAGACCATGAGAAACAAGTTTCTCTGGTCTGATGAAACCAAGATTGAACTCTTTGGCCTGAATGCCAAGCGTCACGTCTGGAGGAAACCTGGCACCATCCCTACGGTGAAGCATGGTGGTGGCAGAATCATGCTGTGGGGATGTTTTTCAGCGGCAGAGACTGGGAGACTAGTCAGGATCGAGGGAAAGATGAACGGAGCAAAGTACAGAGAGATCCTTGATGAAAACCTGCTCCAGAGCGCTCAGGACCTCAGACTGGGGCAAAGGTTCACCTTCCAACAGGACAACGACCATAAGCACACAGCCAAGACAACGCAGGAGTGGCTTCGGGACAAGTCTCTGAATGTCCTTGAGTGGCCCAGCCAGAGCCCGGACTTGAACACGATCGAACATCTCTGGAGAGATCTGAAAATAGCTGTGCAGCGACACTCCCCATCCAACCTGACAGAGCTTGAGAGGATCTGCAGAGAAGAATGGGAGAAACTCCCAACATTTTTTATTTTACCTTTATTTAACTAGGCAAGTCAGTTAAGAACAAATTCTAATTTACAATGACAGGTGTGCCAAGCTTGTAGCGTCATACCCAAGAAGACTCAAGGCTGTAATCGCTGCCAAAGGTGCTTCAACAAAGTACTGAGTAAAGGGTCTGAATACTTATGTAAATGTGATATTTCAGTGTTTTATTTATAATACATTTGCAAACATTTCTAAAAACCAGTTTTTGCTTTGTCATTATGGGGTATTGTGTGTAGATTGATGAGAGGAAAAAAACAATTTAATCCAGTTTAGAATAAGGCTGTAACGTAACAAAATGTGGAAAAAGTCAAGGGGTCTGAATACTTTCCGAAGGCACTGTATCTGTAACCTTTGAAATGTTTGGATCTTTTAAAAATTGAATATGATTTGTGGATTCAAATAAAGCATTTAAAGTGTGATCTGTGTGTGTGCGCCTGTACTTTATATATACCAGTACTGTACTGGTACCCCGTGTATAAAGCCAAGTTATCGTTACTCATTGTGTATTTATTCCTGGTGTTATTATCTTTCTATTAGTTCTCTGTTTTTCTCTCTGTATTGTTGTGAAGGTCCGTCAGTCAGCATTTCACTGTTAGTCTACACCTGTTGTTTATGAAACATGTGACAAATAAGGTGTGATTTGTGTGCGTAGCCCGCATGGAGCCTTAGGGACCTGGGCCTGTCTGACCTGGGCGTGGGGCAGATGGACGAGCTAGCGAGCGCTATGTTACCACGTCTGAGTCAACAGGGGGCGCTGTCCTCATCCAGCCCCAGCCAACAGGCCTGGAGGACCTCCCACCTCTCCTCACATTCCTTCTTCCACAACAAGCATGGTGAGGCGAAGGACACGTCTATAGATAATGACCATAGTAACCCTACTGCTGGTTGGTGAGTTTCCCCCAAAAACATTATTATGTTCATCTTTAGCACTAAGTTCATCTTGTACGAATGATGATCTTAATGCTAAACATGATCTTTTATGTTTTTGGGGAAACTCACCCGGTAATAGTACAATTAGCTGTAACCCGATTTTAGATTCAGCTGAGTTGAGTTTAAGTCGTATTTTGTGTAGGGCCCATATCAAAGGGTGTGTGTGGGGGGTTGACTGCATGTGATTGCAGCATAGAATACATATGATTCGCTTATGATAAGTGTTTTTTGCATCGCACGGATTGTCTATTATAGAACTCATTTAGTATCGTTTATATGAACGAGTTGTTTTTGAGACAAGAGAATCACAAATTATATCCTAATAAGAAGAATGTCTGTAGGGAAGAAGACCATTGGGTTGAATATGCACATCCAACTCTCCTTTCATTGTCTTTCTAGGGTTCTCTGGTGGTAAAATGGGCACGTCCTACCCTGTTTTCTGCAGACAGGTCCCTTCCCCTCTTCAGGCCATTTGTACAGAGTTCCACTATTGGCCTGGTAACCAAATATAATTGTATTATGTTATTTTGTAATTAAGTGACTAATAAATATCCAGCAAAAGTCCCAGCGTAGTCCTCCTGTAAATGCAAGTTAATGTCAACAGTGGCAAGCTTGTGACAGAATTATATATTTGGATGGGAGCTTATTCTACCGTTGTTATTGGAGGAAGGGTTCACGCAATGAAATGGAGGGCAAGGGTGTATGTCTGTTGTTTTGACAATCACTCACCCATATTTGAGTGCGATCGTGAACGCCTAAAGTGCATTCATATTTACCAAACAGCTTTCTACTTATAAATGTATTGTTTGATTTTATATGTGTTGAACATACAGTATGTGTCCTTGTTCCCAGTGTGGGTCCAGAACAGAGGCTTTAAAACTCTAGGGAAACACAAGCGACTGCAGGCAGGCTTTGAGCGTCCGATGGAACCAGATGGCTTTACACCCTCCTTTATGAAGGTGAGACCCCGGTTTGTCTGCACTCTGTCACTCTCTGGAGAGAGTACCTGGGTCTTGTTCATTAGGTCACACCATAGAAAAATGTGTGAAAACATTTTTACAACGAAAAGAAAAAAAAAAAAAAAGCGTTTCTTATTTGACAAAGACTAATGGTACCTCCCAGTTTCACATTTTCTTCAGGTGGTTCCCTACTGAACATGCCCCTGGTTGCATTGTAAACATCTCTAACGTCGTTGTCTCGTGCAGGGCCTCCTGACGCGTGATAAGGGGTTGGAGGTGGAAACCTTGGACAAGCTCCTGAAGAACAAGAATATTCCCGATGGGCAGCAAGATTCTTTCAAGACCGGGTTTGCTGAGGGCTTCCTGAAATCCCAAGCTCTGACACAGCGCACACAAGGCAAGTGTACACTACACTACACTACACTACACTACACTACACTACACTACACTACACTACACTACACTACACTATACAACACTACACTACACTACACTACACTACAAGAACAGAGTCATGCTCAGTAAGACACAACATGGCTGAACGGTTTGAAACTGAAAACCAAAACGGCTGTTCTTAAAGGAACAGCTCAGGGTAGTACCTCCTTCGTTTTTCACAACATTGTCTCGTGTTTCCACTGCCTACCAAACATGACCTGGGTGCACGTTATCGTTCAGAAAACAAAAGTGACCAGCTCCACTCTCCTTGCAGTGAGCATTAAATGACCAACGTTTCAGCTTGCAGGCCCCGAAGGCTCACTGCAACAAGAGATGCGTGCCCAACTTTCATTTTTTTCCCCGGATTTAAAGTGGATTAAAACTCCCATGTTCTCTCCCCTTGTCTGCAGACTCTCTGAGGAGGACGAGGCTGGTCCTGCTGGTTCTGCTACTGCTGGGATTCTACGGCCTCTCAAAGACCCCCTTCCTATCGGGTAAAGGCTCCTTTTTCATTTTTTCATCTCTCTAATCAAGTCCTTCACTCTGGCATGCAGCTTGGTGTGTACCTGTTAAAGCCACAATCCGGAGTTTGCGTTTTAGTCCAACTGCACTCCTCGCTAGAAAGGGTTGGGCCAGGAGAAACGTAAACCAGTGTCAAAGTGACATGATGGTTTTTGAAGCTGTATATTGTCTGTTTTAAAGTTCCATTCTTTATAAGTTAATGGGTAGCCTATGTCATTCATTCATTCATTCATTTATTCAAATGACAGTTGAACAGTGTCCGAGATTGAGCCTTTAACTCTTTGCTGATGCATTCAGAATTCACACACAAAAAGCATGTTCAGCAAGTTTGATGAGTAATCAAGAGAACTTGATAAGAATATTGTTATCAATTGTTTCCATCGATTTTAGTTGACCGAATGCTTCTAAAAGACAGTGATTTGTTGCCAAACTAAACTAAATCTAACCATAGCTAAGAACGCTTTTGCATCCGAGCAGTGTGATTTCGAACCATAATCTAACCATTCTGGACAGTGCGATTCCGAACCACATCAGGCCTGGACTCGGCGGTGGACCCTGTCCACATGAAGAACGTGACGTTTGAGCACGTCAAAGGGGTGGAGGAGGCCAAGAACGAGCTGCAGGAGGTGGTGGAGTTCCTCCGCAGCCCAGAGAAGTTCACCGTCCTTGGAGGGAAACTGCCGAGAGGTGCAGTAGACCGTGGAACTCTTTTGTGGCCTTTAGTTGATCAGGGTTGTGTTCATTAGGCACCAAATAGAGAAAAGAAATGGACTGGAACAGGAAGGACTACGTGGATTTGTCCAGTAAGAAACGCTCATTTTTATTTTCCGTTGCAAAACATTTAACAAAAAAAAATATATATATACGCAGTTTCCGTGCCCTAATGAACACTACCCAGGTGTAGACTGACTGAACAATTCTGAATTCAAGAAGTTGTTTAGGCAGGCGCACGATCTTCCCCTGATGGGACATTTTAAATGGCGGCATTAATCTTTGTCACCACTTTAATTGACTCACAGTTTTTAGTTTTTAGTTACATATCTTGTTGTTGACTTCCACATTGGATTTCAATCTAATATTTTAGTCAACATTCATAAAAAAAAACAGGCTACTTTGTTAGGTAAATATTGTATTACTGTATATTTGTATATTGTATTACTGTACATAAAGTGGTTATCCCACTGGCTATAGGGTGAACGCACCAATTTGTGAGTCGCTCTGGCTAAGAGCGTCTGCTAAATGACGTTAATGTGCCCTTGAGCAAGGCACTTAACCCTAATTGCTCCTGTAAGTCGCTCTGGTTAAGAGCGTCTGCTAAATGACTAAAATGTAAAAATGTAAATGTATATTACCTATTACAGTTGTTCATAGCTCTTTCTCTCTATGTCTCTATGTCTCTGTGTGTCTGTGTGTCTGTGTGTCTGTGTCTGTGTCTGTGTCTGTGTCTGTGTCTGTGTCTGTGTCTGTGTCTGTGTCTGTGTGTGTGTGTGTGTGTGTGTGTGTGTAGGGATCTTGCTGGTTGGCCCTCCTGGCACTGGGAAGACTCTGTTGGCCAGAGCCGTGGCTGGAGAGGCCGACGTCCCCTTCTATTATGCCTCAGGCTCTGAGTTTGATGAGATGTTTGTTGGGGTTGGAGCCAGTCGCATCAGGAACCTCTTCAGTGAGTCCCATCTGCTCTTTAAGTCTCGGCCTATTCCTGGCTTCCAACCCTGACCCTAATATTGTAATTTTCACTGTCCTTTAAAAATACAAATTTAAAAAATAACCTGGTTGCAATGATGCTAGATGGTATTGTCATAATTTATCAACCGTATATCTGAGACCCCAGCCCTAGACTTCAACCCACCCTCTCTATACATTACATCTGCAGAGGAAGCTAAAGCAAACGCCCCGTGTGTGATCTTCATTGACGAGTTGGACAGCGTCGGAGGGAAGAGAATCGAGTCTCCCATGCACCCTTACTCCAGACAGACCATCAACCAGCTACTGGCTGAGATGGACGGGTATGTTTCCAGACGCGTTTTTTCTGGGTTGTGTTCAGTGAGGAAAAACGTTATAAAACGAAGTGAAATACATTTACATTTACATCATTTAGCAGACGCTCTTATCCAGAGCGACTTACAAATTGGTGCATTCAACTTATGATAGCCAGTGGGACAACCACTTTTTTTTTTTTTTTATGGGGGAGTAGAAGAATTACTGTTATACTATTCCAGGTATTCCTTAAAGAGGTAGGGTTTCAAGTGTCTCCGGAAGGTGGTCAGTGACTCCGCTGTCCTGGCGTCATGGGGGAGCTTGTTCCACCATTGGGGTGCCAGAGCAGCAAATAGCTTTGACTGGGCTGAGTGGGAACTGTGCTTCCGTAGAGGTAGGGGAGCTAGCAGGCCAGAGGTGGATGAACGTAGTGCCCTCGTTTGGGTGTAGGGTCTGATCAGAGCCTGAAGGTACGGAGGTGCCGTTCCCCTCACAGCTCCGTAGGCAAGCACCATGGTCTTGTAGCAGATGCGAGCCTCAACTGGAAGCCAGTGGAGTGTGCGGAGGAGCGGGGTGACGTGAGAGAACTTGGGAAGGTCGAACACCAGACGGGCTGCGGCGTTCTGGATAAGTTGTAGGGGTTTGTGAGATTGTCCAATGTGAGATGTGAGATTGTCCAATAAGAACACAGATTTTTTCAGTTGCAAAACGTTTGTGCTGTACGGAACACGACCCTACTTTCTGTGGGGAGAAACATCCCACAGGGCACAGATGTCATTTCAACATCTAGTTTTGATTTACATTTTGTTGAGTTGTGAATTCAGCATGAAATCAACAACAAATGTCACCATGTCATTGGATTTAGATTAAAAGTTGGGTGAAAAAAATACAACATTCCCGTTGATGACTTTTTGCAAATTCAATCAGTTTTCCACGTTGATTCAACGTCATCGCATAGATTTTTTTTTAAAATGATGTGGAAACAACGTTGATTCAAGCAGTTTTTTTCCAAGTAGGATGGATCCACTGACTTCCCTGAACGTGTCACGATTGTCGCCCGCAGGTTCAAACCAAACGAAGGGGTCATCATCATTGGAGCAACAAACTTCCCTGAGGCTTTGGATAAGTATGTTAAGCTTTATTCATCTCGTAATGATGTTGCTCAATGACATGTTTTTTTTTTTTTACAGGGTTTCATTAGTTGACATGAGTACAGATTGACTTGCCATGTTAAAACAAACCTAAAGTCAGTGAAGCTCCTCCCCTCCCTAGCGCTCTGATTCGGCCAGGACGTTTCGACATGCAGGTCACCGTCCCCAAGCCAGACGTGAAGGGGCGCACAGAGATCCTCAACTGGTACCTAAGGAAGATCAAAGTAGACCCTGGTACGTGAGCAACATGCATGTGTGACCTATGTTGATCATAGCTTGAGTCAATTGCTGATGAGCAATAGCTTCACACAAGTGAATCTGCTGGGCTAAATGTTAATGGGTACATGCAAATATACTATGGCTATATGAGAATCTACAGTGGCAATATGCTAATGGCTGTATGCCAATAGACTATGGCTACTTGCTAATGAATACATGCTAATAGAATATAGCTACATGCTAATGATGCATACTTATAGACAATGGCTATATGAGAATATGCAGTGGCAACATGCTAATCGCTGCATGCTAATAGCCTATGTGTACATACTAAAAGAGAAAAACATGCTAGTAAGACTCACCGTAGTTGATTAGCTGTACCTGTTCCTGCTAACGACTTCATGCAGACATCGAGGCTGGGATCATCGCCAGGGGAACAGTGGGCTTCTCCGGGGCAGACCTGGAGAACCTGGTCAACCAGGCGGCTCTGAAGGCGGCGGTGGACGGCAAAGACATGGTGACCCTCAAAGAGCTGGATTTCGCCAAGGACAAGATCCTCATGGGTGAGCTCTGCTGTAGGAATGGGGAGGAAAATAGAAATACAACCCTTAATCACATTAGGAATGGGGAGGAAAATAGAAATACAACCCTTAATCACAAATCGCCCCAGCCCCAACCCCCAACCCCCAGCCCCCACCCCCAGCCCCAGCCCCAACCCCCAGCCCCAACCCCCAGCCCCAACCCCCACCCCCAACCCCCAGCCCCAACCCCCAGCCCCAACCCCCAACCCCCAACCCCCAGCCCCAACCCCCAGCCCCAACCCCCAGCCCCAGCCCCAACCCCAGCCCCAGCCCCCAACCCCCAGCCCCAGCCCCCAACCCCCAGCCCCAACCCCCAACCCCCAGCCCCAACCCCCAGCCCCAGCCCCAGCCCCAGCCCCAGCCCCAACCCCCAGCCCCAACCCCCAACCCCCAGCCCCCAACCCCCAGCCCCAACCCCCAACCCCCAGCCCCAACCCCAGCCCCAGCCCCCAACCCCCAGCCCCAGCCCCCAACCCCCAGCCCCAACCCCCAACCCCCGGCCCCTCGACAATCCACTCAAAGAAAAACCGGCCCGCGGCTGAATATAGTTGATGATCCCTGACGTAGGGGTTAGGAGTTTATTGGAGATTCGGGGATCTTTGAGCAGGTTTTGGAAATCAACTTTTATATCTGTCCCGCTTCCCTCCCACAGGCCCAGAGAGGAGGAGTGTTGAGATAGACCTGAAGAACAAGGAGATCACGGCCTACCACGAGTCAGGCCACGCTATCGTGGCGTACTACACCAAGGACGCCATGCCCATCAACAAGGCCACCATCATGCCCAGAGGACCTACGCTGGGTCATGTAAGTAGGACTGGAAATAGGGAAATTCAAATCTATAGGAAATAAGATGGGTAGGGAGTGCTACATGGATAGACTAGTAGCATTTCACTGTACCGTTTACGCCATGTCCTGTGCACTAATAAGGTTATTACAGTTTTGTGTTTTTATATTTGTTTATTTATTTCTATACGCTTTTATTTAAAATTCTGTTTAGTTTCAGTTAGTTTTCAGACCTGATTTGCTAGTTTTTATTTCGTTTCAGTTTATAGATTTGTTCGTTTTAGTGTTAGGGACAGAAAGCGTGTGTGGGGTAGTTTTATGTTTAGTTGCTATGTCACTTCTTGCCACTGGGGGGCAGTAATACATAAGGTGATGGGTCAGCTCATAGGTTAGGGAAGGTTTCAATTATAAAGTCAAAAACTCCAACATGCTTACACACTCCCCACACATCTCCCATCCTCTCACCTCACCGTTTTCACTCAAACCCAACAGGCTGTTGTGACTTGGATTTTAAAGGAAACAGAGACTGGTGCAAAAAAATATGGCGGAAGGAAACTCTCTCACCCATGTTTATACCAATCCAATGCTTTTTTTTACTTTAGAAGTACATACCTGTTAGAAGAATCAAGTTAGCTACCAAGCTGAGTTTTTTTTCTTCGTTGTTAGCTAGTGATAGTGATACACAAGCTAGGCCTATTTGAAACACCGCCATCTCCTGGCCGCATTTACCTGCCACAGTAGCTTGAAAACCAATGAATGTGTATAAACCCTGGATTGCTGATGCTATTTATGTATTGGCCAATGAGAGGCTTTGAAGCCACCGGTCAGCCATATTGACACTCCCCAGTAGAAGCAGTCCTCCATAGGAATGAATGGAATTCTACAGGACAAAATTTACATGTATTTAAGAATGTTTTGGTTGTGGTGTGGACAATAACATTAGTACTCAAAGAAAACTTTCAGGAAAATGTTTTAATATATATATTTTATTTTAAATGTTTATGTTTAGCTAACATTATATAATTTAAACGCATTCGTTAAGGTGTCTCTAATAGAATAAACGTGTCAAAATGAATGTAGACAATAATACATGGATTTCTATAGCTTCCAAAATCTTTTTTTTTACATCTGAGGAGGAGTGCCAAGATGGCTGCTTAGTCATGCCAAGATGGCTGCTTAGTCATGCCAAGATGGCTGCTTAGTCATGCCAAGATGGCTGCTTAGTCATGCCAAGATGGCTGCTTAGTCATCCAGGGTTTGCATACGTCATTGTTGAAAACACCCCAAAAGCTTGAAAACCCTATTACGTTTTGCCCTAAGTTTAGAAAAAAAAACTCAAACTGAACATAATTCATGCTGGTTTTTATTTTATTTGAGTTTGTTTTATTTATAGTTTCAGTATAGTTTGTTTTTCAAACAGGTTTGTTAAATTTTTTTAGTTTACTGAACAGTTTTTTTTTCATGATTAGTTTGTTTGTTTTAGTTTTACTATAATAACCTTGCTGTGCACATGACCAATACACTTTGATTTGATTAGTAGAATATCAACAGTGTATTTATTTTTTTACTGTGATACTGGTTTCTTATATGAAGGCTATGACGCCGGAATACAGCGCCTTCAGGAAGTATTCATACCCCTTGACTTATTCCACATGTTGTTGTTGTTGTTGTTGCAGCCTGAATTCAGAATGGATTACATTTATATTTTCTCTCACCCATCTACACACAATACCCCAGAATGACAAAGTAAAAACATGTTTTTAGACATTTTTGCAAATTTTATTTCAAATGAAATACAAAAATATCTCATTTACATAAGTATTCACACCACTGAGTCAATACCTTGTAGAATCACCTTTGGTGGCGATTACAGCTTTGAGTTGTCTTGGGTATGTCTGTATCAGCTTTGCACTTCTGGATTTTGGGATTTTCTCCCATTCTTGCTTGCAGGTTTTCTCAAGCTCTGTTAAGTTCGATGGGGAGTGGCGGTGAACAGCAGTCTTCAAGTCTTTCCACAGATTTTCAATGGGATTCAAGTCTGGGCTTTGGCTGGGCCACTCAAGGACTTTCACATTCTTGTTCTTAAGCCATTCCAGCGTTGCTTTTGGCTGTATGCTTGGTGTCATTGTCCCGTTGGAACGTAAATCTTCACCCCAGTCTAAGGTTGTTTGCACTCTGAAGCAGGTTCTCATCAAGGATTTGCCTGTATTTGGCTCCATTCATTGTTCCCTCCATCCTTACCAGTCTCCCAGTCCCTGCTGCTGAAAAGCATCCCCATAGCATGATGCTGCCACCACCATGCTTCACGGTAGGGATGGTGTTAGACGGATGATGAGCTGTGCCTGGCTTTCTCCAGACATAGCGCTTTTTAGTCAGGGCAAATACTTACATTTATGGGCGGCAGGTAGCTTAGTGGTTAAGAGCGTTGTGCCAGTAACCGAAAGGTTGCTGGTTCTAATCCCCGAGCCGACTAGGTGAAAAATCTGTCGATGTGCCCTTGAGCAAGGCACTTAACCCTAATTGCTCCTGTAAGTCGCTCTGGATAAGAGCGTCTGCTAAATGATTAATTATTTTTATTTATTTATTTATGTCTCATCAGATCACAGAATCTTTTGCCTTTTGCCTCGGCTGCTCAGTTTGGTCGGACGGCCAGCTCTAGGCAGAGTCTTGGTGGTTCCAAACTTCTTCCATTTAAGAATGATGGAGGGCACTGTGTTCTTGGGGACCTTCAATGCTGCAGACATTTTTTGGTACCCTTCCCCAGATCTGTTCCTTGACACAATCCTGTCTCGGAGCTCTACGGACAATTGCTTCGACCTCATGGCTTGGTTTTTGCTCTGACATGCACTGTCAACTGTGGGACCTTATATAGACAGGTGTGTGCCTTTCCAAATCATGTCCAATCAATTGAATTTACCACAGGTGGACTCCAATCAAGTTGTATAAACATCTCAAGGATGATCAATGGAAACAGGATGCAGCTGAGCTCCATTTCGAGTCATAGGAAAAGGTCTGAATACTTATGTAAATAAGGTATTTCTGTTTTTTTATTTTTAATACATTTCCAAACATTCTAAAAACCTGTTTTCGATTTGTCATTTTGGGGTATTGTGTGTAGATTGATGAGGGATTTTATTTTATTTAATCCATTTTAGAATGAGGCTGTAACGTAACAAAATGTGGAAAAAGTTTAGGGGTCTGAATACTTTCCGAATGCACTGTATAGACAGGTGTTTCTTTTTAAATCATGTCCAAACAATTGAATTGGCCATAGGTGGACTCCAATCAAGTTGTAGTGACATCTCAAGGATGATCAAAGGAAATTGGATGCACCTGTGCGCAATTTGGAGGGTCATAGCAAAGGGCTGTAAATACTTATGTAAATTAGATATTTCTTTATTTCATTTGCAATAAATTTGCCAAGATTTTAAAAAAACAACAACGTGTTTTCACTTTGTCATTATGGGCTATTGTGTGATGATGGGTGAGGAAAAACATATATTGAATCCATTTTGAATTCAGGCTGCCTGTAACACAACAAAAATGTGGAATAAGTCGAGGGGTCTGAATACTTTCTGAAGGCACTGTAGTTTATCTGTACCGCCATGTTTTTTAGGAATCCGTTCTGCTGAGCATGCCAATATAATAAGGCCTCATTTTGGTAATTATGAACAGCGGCTTAGTCCTCCTCCTGGGTTTTTTTTCTGGCAAATTAAATAGTTGTTTTTGATGTTTTTAGAAACATCAAGTGTGCAATAAGTTGGTTCCATTTGCTGCCAGGCCTCACTCCTTCCCCCACTGTCTCCCAGGTGTCCATGCTACCGGAGGATGACCGCTGGAGCGAGACGCGTGCTCAGCTGCTGGCCCAGATGGACGTCAGCATGGGAGGCCGCGTGGCAGAGGAGATCATATTTGGCAATGAGTTCATCACCACTGGTATGCAGGGGGATGTAGAGTTGGTGTAGGAGGGTAATTTGAGTACAGAATTACAGTCAACGTGTACAGTAATGTAGTGCAATAAGCATATTCCTCCTCCACATCTCAAGGGGTGCAATCCTGTCATCCAAATTTCTAATAGATAAATTCAATCTAAATGTTGGGGATTTATGTTTTTGAGGGTATGATATGGTCATTTATCTGTTATTCAAACTGATTTACAGAATTGTGGAGATTAAGAGTGACACATATTTTCAGTAATATGTGGCCCATTCAGGAATCTAACCCACATCATTAGTGTTGCTAGAACCATGCTCTGACTAACCAACATCATTAGTGTTGTCAGAACCATGCTCTGACTAACCCATGTCATTAGTGTTACCAGAACCATGCTCTGACTAACCCACGTCATTAGTGTTACCAGAACCATGCTCTGACTAACCCATGTCATTAATGTTACCAGAACCATGCTCTGACTAACCCACATTCATTAGTGTTACCAGAACCATGCTCTGACTAACCCACATTCATTAGTGTTACCAGAACCATGCTCTGACTAACCCATGTCATTAGTGTTACCAGAACCATGCTCTGACTAACCCACGTCATTAGTGTTACCAGAACCATGCTCTGACTAACCCATGTCATTAGTGTTACCAGAACCATGCTCTGACTAACCAACATCATTAGTGTTACCAGAACCATGCTCTGACTAACCAACATCATTAGTGTTACCAGAACCATGCTCTGACTAACCCATGTCATTAGTGTTACCAGAACCATGCTCTGACTAACCCACATTCATTAGTGTTACCTGAACCATGCTCTGACTAACCAACATCATTAGTGTTACCAGAACCATGCTCTGACTAACCCACGTCATTAGTGTTACCAGAACCATGCTCTGACTAACCAACATCATTAGTGTTACCAGAACCATGCTCTGACTAACCCACGTCATTAGTGTTACCAGAACCATGCTCTGACTAACCCACGTCATTAGTGTTACCAGAACCATGCTCTGACTAACCAACATCATTAGTGTTACCAGAACCATGCTCTGACTAACCAACATCATTAGTGTTACCAGAACCATGCTCTGACTAACCAACATCATTAGTGTTACCAGAACCATGCTCTGACTAACCAACATCATTAGTGTTGCTAGAACCATGCTCTGACTAACCCACGTCATTAGTGTTACCAGAACCATGCTCTGACTAACCCACGTCATTAGTGTTACCTGAACCATGCTCTGACTAACCAACATCATTAGTGTTACCAGAACCATGCTCTGACTAACCAACATCATTAGTGTTACCAGAACCATGCTCTGACTAACCAACATCATTAGTGTTACCAGAACCATGCTCTGACTAACCAACATCATTAGTGTTACCAGAACCATGCTCTGACTAACCCATGTCATTAGTGTTACCAGAACCATGCTCTGACTAACCAACATCATTAGTGTTACCAGAACCATGCTCTGACTAACCCATGTCATTAGTGTTACCAGAACCATGCTCTGACTAACCAACATCATTAGTGTTACCAGAACCATGCTCTGACTAACCAACATCATTAGTGTTATCAGAACCATGCTCTGACTAACCAACATCATTAGTGTTACCAGAACCATGCTCTGACTAACCCATGTCATTAGTGTTACCAGAACCATGCTCTGACTAACCCACGTCATTAGCGTTACCAGAACCATGCTCTGACTAACCCATGTCATTAGTGTTACCAGAACCATGCTCTGACTAACCAACATCATTAGTGTTACCAGAACCATGCTCTGACTAACCCACGTCATTAGTGTTACCAGAACCATGCTCTGACTAACCAACATCATTAGTGTTACCAGAACCATGCTCTGACTAACCCACGTCATTAGTGTTACCAGAACCATGCTCTGACTAACCCACATCATTAGTGTTGTCAGAACCATGCTCTGACTAACCCACGTCATTAGCGTTACCAGAACCATGCTCTGACTAACCCATGTCATTAGTGTTACCAGAACCATGCTCTGACTAACCCACATTCATTAGTGTTACCAGAACCATGCTCTGACTAACCAACATCATTAGTGTTACCAGAACCATGCTCTGACTAACCCATGTCATTAGTGTTACCAGAACCATGCTCTGACTAACCAACATCATTAGTGTTACCAGAACCATGCTCTGACTAACCCATGTCATTAGTTGTTACCAGAACCATGCTCTGACTAACCCACATTCATTAGTGTTACCAGAACCATGCTCTGACTAACCAACATCATTAGTGTTACCAGAACCATGCTCTGACTAACCAACATCATTAGTGTTACCAGAACCATGCTCTGACTAACCCACGTCATTAGTGTTACCAGAACCATGCTCTGACTAACCAACATCATTAGTGTTACCAGAACCATGCTCTGACTAACCCACGTCATTAGTGTTACCAGAACCATGCTCTGACTAACCCCTGTCATTAGTGTTACCAGAACCATGCTCTGACTAACCAACATCATTAGTGTTACCAGAACCATGCTCTGACTAACCCACGTCATTAGTGTTACCAGAACCATGCTCTGACTAACCCATGTCATTAGTGTTACCAGAACCATGCTCTGACTAACCCACATTCATTAGTGTTACCAGAACCATGCTCTGACTAACCAACATCATTAGTGTTACCAGAACCATGCTCTGACTAACCCACGTCATTAGTGTTACCAGAACCATGCTCTGACTAACCCATGTCACTAGTGTTACCAGAACCATGCTCTGACTAACCAACACCATTAATGTTACCTGAACCATGCTCTGACTAACCAACATCATTAGTGTTACCAGAACCATGCTCTGACTAACCCACGTCATTAGTGTTGCTGAGACATTTATATATTTTACCCTATTAGTCATCTTCCAAGAGTGCTTAAAGACTAAACAAATTATATATAAACCACGTTCATCTTTTTTGTTGTTTTTTCAGGTGCATCAAGTGACTTTGATGCTGCCACCAAAATTGCAAAAATGATGGTGACCAGATTTGGTATGTGTGAGAGGGTAAGTTATGGATGCTGGACGTTTGGTCAGGGAGAGACAAAATGAAGTCATGTCTTTTATAACGCATCAGCAAAGTCCCGTGATTTTACTGTATAACCTTCCGGACATGTAGTGTTGAATTAGCTTTATTGGCATGAATGGGAACCACCCAATGTTGCAGCACTACATATACAGTGAGGGGAAAAAAAGAATTTGATCCCCTGCTGATTTTGTACGTTTGCCCACTGACAAAGAAATGATCAGTCTATAATTTTAATGGTAGGTTTATTTGAACAGTGAGAGACAGAATAACAACAAAATCCAGAAAAACTCGTGTCAAAAATGTTATAAGTTGATTTGCATTTTAATGAGGGAAATAAGTATTTGACCCCCTCTCAATCAGAAAGATTTCTGGCTCCCAGGTGTCTTTTATACAGGTAACAATCTGAGATTAGGAGCACACTCTTAAAGGGAGTGCTCCTAATCTCAGCTTGTTACCTGTATAAAAGACACCTGTCCACAGAAGCAATCAATCAATCAGATTCCAAACTCTCCACCATGGCCAAGACCAAAGAGCTCTCCAAGGATGTCAGGGACAAGATTGTAGACCTACACAAGGCTGGAATGGGCTACAAGACCATCGCCAAGCAGCTTGGTGAGAAGGTGATTGTTGGTGCGATTATTCGCTAATGGAAGAAACACAAAATAACTGTCAATCTCCCTCGGCCTGGGGCTCAATGCAAGATCTCACCTCGTGGAGTTGCAATGATCATGAGAACGGTGAGGAACTACATGGGAGGATCTTGTCAATGATCTCAAGGCAGCTGGGACCATAGTCACCAGGAAAACAATTGGTAACACACTACGCCGTGAAGGACTGAAATCCTGCAGCGCCCGCAAGGTCCCCCTGCTCAAGAAAGCACATATACAGGCCCGTTTGCCAATGAACATCTGAATGATTCAGAGGAGAACTGGGTGAAAGTGTTGTGGTCAGATGAGACCAAAATGGAGCTCTTTGGCATCAACTCAACTCACCGTGTTTGGAGGAGGAGGAATGCTGCCTATGACCCCAAGAACACCATCCCCACCGTCAAACATGGAGGTGGAAACATTATGCTTTGGGGGTATTTTTCTGCTAAGGGGACAGGACAACTTCACCGCATCAAAGGGACGATGGACGGGGCCATGTACCGTCAAATCTTAGGTGAGAACCTCCTTCCCTCAGCCAGGGCATTGAAAATGGGTCGTGGATGGGTATTCCAGCATGACAATGACCCAAAACACACGGCCAAGGCAACAAAGCAGTGGCTCAAGAAGAAGCACATTAAGGTCCTGGAGTGGCCTAGCCAGTCTCCAGACCTTAATCCCATAGAAAATCTGTGGAGGGAGCTGAAGGTTCGAGTTGCCAAACGTCAGCCTCAAAACCTTAATGACTTGGAGAAGATCTGCAAAGAGGAGTGGGTCAAAATCCCTCCTGAGATGTGTGCAAACCTGGTGGCCAACTATAAGAAACGTCTGACCTCTGTGATTGCCAACAATGGTTTTGCCATCAAGTCCATGTTTTGCAGAGGGGTCAAATACATATTTCCCTCATTCAAATGCAAATCAATTTATAACATTTTTGACATGCGTTTTTCTGGATTTTTTTGTTGTTATTCTGTCTCTCACTGTTTAAATAAACCTACCATTAAAATTATAGACTGATCATGTCTTTGTCAGTGGGCAAACGTACAAAATCAGCAGGGGATCAAATACTTTTTTCCCTCACTGTATATATATATATATAATGTGAAAATATATATATATTGTGACACTATCTGTCTCTCACCTGCGTTGTAGCTGGGTGTCATGACCTACGCTGACCAAACCAAGCAGAGCCCAAAGACACAGGCTGCCATCGAACACGAAGTCAGGAAACTTTTAAAGGTACGTTTCCACCTCCGTCGACCTTCCAAGCCCCTGTCCCAGTGCTCTTTGGCTTGTGGTTTTTTATGTTCCCCATTTTTCAAACCAGGCTTATTCAGTGTTACAGTTTAAGGAAATAACAGACCCAATTTACAGGTGTGTCTAAGCCCTGTAATTGCACTGGAACATATCCAAGCCCGTTTCAGAAATTCCCTCAACTCCTCTGGTGGTTTGTATGGTCCTCAGGATTCGTACGAGCGGGCCAGGGTGCTCCTCAAGTCTCACGCCAAAGAGCACCAGAGCCTGGCCAGGGCCCTGCTGCAATACGAGACACTGGACGCCAGAGAGATCAAGATGGTCCTGGAGGGCAAGGCCCTGGAGACCAGATGAGACTTCCAAGGGTGGAGGCGTCACTGGTTAATTGGGGAGATGGGGTGGGGAGACATTAAATCACTGTCCACAGTGATTTCACAGTCTTACGCAAACAGAGCTACGGAGCTGTGTACAGTGCCTTCACGAAGCATTCACAGCCTGAATTTAAAATGGATGAAATTGTGATTTTGTGTCACTGGCCTACACACAATACCCCATAATGTCAAAGTGGAATTTAGAATGTTTTTAGAAATGTTTACAAATTTGAAAAGCTGAAATGCCTTGAGTCAATAAGTAATCAACACCTTTGTTATGGCAAACCTAAATAAGTTCAGGAGTAAAAATGTGCTTAACAAGTCACATAATCAGTTGCATGGACTCACTCTGTGCAATAATAGTGTTTAATGTGATTTTTTTTAATGACTACTTCATCTCTGTACCACACACATACAATCATCTGTAAGGTTCCTCAGTCGAGCAGTGAATTTTAAACACAGATTCAACCACAAAGACCAGGGAGGTTTTCCAATGCCTCGCAAAGAATGGTACCTATTGGTAGATGGGTAAAAAAAAGAAGCAGACATTGAATATCCCTTTTGAGCATGGTGAAGTTATTCATTACACTTTGGATGGTGTATCAATATACCCAGTCACTACAAAGATACAGGCATCCTGCCCAACTCAGTTGCCGGAGCAGAAGGAAACCACTCAGGGATTTCACCATGAGGCCAGTGGTGACTTTAAAACAGTTACAGAGTTTAATGGCTGTAATAGGAGAACACTGAGGATGGATCAAAAGCATTGTAGTTACTCCACAATACTAACCTAAATGACAGAGTGAAAAGAAGGAAGCCTGTACAGAAAAAAATATTCCAAAACATGCATCCCACTGCAAAAGATGTGGCAAAGAAATTTACTTTATATCCTGAATACAAAGCATTATGTTTGGGGCAAATCCAACACAACACATCATCGACTACCACTCTTCATATTTTCAAGCATGGTGGTGGCTACATCATGTTATGGGTATGCTTGTTATCGGCAAGGACTAGGGAGTTTTTTGGGGGGGATAAAAAGAAACTGAAGTGAGCTAAGCACAGGCAAAATCCTAGACGAAAACCTGGTTCAGTCTGCTTTCCAACAGACACGCTGGGAGCAAAATTAACCTTTCAGCAGGACAATAACCTAAAACACAAGGACAAATATACATTGGTGTTGCTTACCAACCAAGACGACATTGGATGTTCCTGAGTGGCCTAGTTACAGTTTTGACTTAAATCTGCTTGACAATCTATGGCAAGACTTGAAAATGTCTGTCTAGCAATGATCAACAACCAACTTGAAAGAACTTGAAGAATTTTCAAAAAGAATAATGTGCAAATATTGTACAATCCAGGTGTGGAAAGCTGTTAGACTTACCCAGAAAGACGCACAGCTGCAATCGCTGCCAAAGGTAATTCTAACATGTATTGACTCAGGCAGGGATGTGAATACTTATGCAAATTAGATATTTTTGTATTTCTTTTTTTTTTTTGGTTATACATTTGCAAAAAGTTCTAATAGCAGTCGTTATGGGGGGTATTGTTTGAAGATGGGTGAGGATTTTTTTATTTATTGAATCAATTTTGAATTCAGGCTGTAACACAACTAAATGTGGAATAAGTCAAGGGGTATGAATACTTCCTGAAGGCACTGTATATGTACTGTATGTACATGTTAAATGTTTTATGCCCAGTAAAAGTCCAAGTCCATTGATTCCATGTCTTGCTCTGGACACCCAGAATCACTACGAAATAATCTAACCTCAGTAAAAAAAATGCAGTTATTTCTACCTGAGACTACCTACTACAGAGACATGATTGAATCTGATTCTCCGTAAGTAGTTTACCAAGATTCCCAGGTTTTTCTGCTGGATCGAATCTCCGAGCTGACAAGGTAAAAAAATAAAATAAATGTCATTCTGCCCCTGAGCAAGGCAGTTCCCCGGGTTGCCGAAGATGTGGATGTCGATTTAAAGCAGTCCTCCGCACCTCTCCGATTCAGAGGGGTTGTGTTAAATGCGGAAGACACATTTCAGTTGAATGCATTCAGTTGTACAACTGACTAGATATACCCCTTTCCCTGTCCCTTTTCGGAATGTACTGTTAGGACTTAACCCAAAATTAAAATATTACATTTACATTTACGTCATTTAGCAGACGCTCTTATCCAGAGCGACTTACAAATTGGTATCTCTTAGTCTGAAAATGTACTCTGTATGTGTGATATAATATGTAAATGCTGTGTGCATATACAGTACAGTACCAGTCAAATGTTTTGACACACCTACTGATTCCAGGGTTTTTCTTTATATGTACTATTTTCTACATTGTAGAATACTAGTGAAGACATCCACAACTATGAAATAACACATATGGAGTCATGTAGTAACCAAAAAAAGTATTAAACAAATGAAAATATATTTTATATTTGAGATTCTTCAAAGTAGCCACCCTTTTGCCTTGATGACAGCTTTGCACACTCTTGGCATTCTCTCCACCAGCTTCATGAGGTAGTAACCTGGAATGCATTTCAATTAACAGGTGTGCCTTGTTAAAAGTTAATTTGTGGAATTTCTTTCCTTAATGCGTTTGAGCCAATCAGTTGTGTTGTGACAAGGTGGGGGGGGGGGGGGGGGGGGGGGGTGTACGGAAGATAGCCCTATTTGGTAAAAGACCAAGTCCAAATTACAGCATTCTGCAACGATACGCCATCTGGTGGAGAGAATGCCAAGAGTGTGCAAAGCTGTCATCAAGGCAAAGGGTGGCTACTTTGAAGAATCTCAAATATAAAATATATTTTGATTTGTTTTAAAACTTTTTGGGGGTTACTACATGATTCCATATGTTTCATTTAATAGTTTTGATGTCTTCACTATTATTCTACAATGTAGAAAATAGTAAAAATAAAGAAAAACCCTTGAATGAGTAGGTGTGTCCAAACTTTTGACTGGTACTGTAGATGGAAGGGAATGCTGCTGTGCTTCGAAATTATGTTTGTTACTTCAAACCCAACGTTGGTATATTAAGCAGTGACGGGCCATTAAATCGTTAGTTTTTAGTTTCAATTCAGCCAACATTAGTTTATCCATTAATGAAGAAATAACTCAAGTTATCTGGTTTCTAGTTCTAAACAATTTTCAAAGTAACAATGAAACCTATTAGAAGACCCTACAACCCCTCATATCCTGGTTCACCCCACTTCTGCTGTGTACTCTCTATTCACATCTGAACACCAGCTGTCTCCACCGTTCAGTAGATCTGGGAATCTCTTCTTTACATGTCCTCACGTTGTATGTTTTTAAACACAAGCACAGAACCTCATACTGTAAGCAAGTACCATCATAGTCATTTGCTGATGTGTGAGCCTTTTAAGGGAAACGGTCAAATGCATCTGTAGACAATACTCAATCGCTTCAACAATCTAGGATCTCCATCTTTGGTTAGCATGAACGCTTTAGGCAAGAGTGTTGAAATCCTTTTTGAAATGTCTGCTAATGTTGAGTTGGAAGCGTTAAGATTGCAATAGAATGGAGGTTTAAATACATACCTTTTTAGCATTTAAGAATACAGACTTTTCTTTAGAGGCAAAGATTATTATTATTATTATGAAATACTGTATACCACATTGCCCAGTGTATAACCAGTATAACTTATTTGTATGCTTTGTACATTTCAAGCTCCTGTTTTTGGCTTTTTACCCACCTTTAGTTGTATATATGAATGGGGTTTAACAGGAACACTGTATATAGATAGAAGGCTTTTGGGCTGCGTATGCATTGGCTGGCTCTGCAATTGGCTGACACGCTTTTCATTCTCTCAATGATATGATGACAGACGTTGGAGGAATCTTTTGTGCAGCTGAAGTAAATAAACAAAACCCTATTATAATCTTAACCCCTGTGGATGATCTTCACTGTTTTATCTGTTTGATACGCACACCTTTCCTGACATCAGAATGTATGCATGTTCAACTACAGTGTAGTTGATATATGTTCACAAATGCTTGCCAGAAGATTCTGGACGTTGATCAATAACATATATCAGCTAACTATTTGGGTTAAATGACAACACCCAAGGCAAGTCGAAAATGTACTAAACTTGATAAAGAAACTATATACATGTATATATTAATTTTTTGTAAGAAGAAAACGATAACTTAACTTTAACTAGATGTTAAAATATACTAGCAAACATTTGCACCTGTGTAAATACACTGACAGATGCAGATTTTTGTGTAAAATAGCAATTTTAATGTATTTATAATACAGTATGCAACTTTTATAGAACACAAGTTTTGCCAATGCAGCTGAAAGTCCACAGTGTAAGTAAATAAAATGTCAAATTACAGCAAAGAGAATAACATAGAAACATAAGAAAATCGGACCGACCAATTCAATCAATCGCAGATGAAGGAAAACTATTGTGTTAACAATTTTTTTAACAGGTGGTTTCACGTCAATATCCAATGACTATGTCCGTAAGAGAAATAGCTAGTGGCGTGAGTTGGTTTTAACCTATTTTACATTCCTTAATTCATTCACACTACCATCTAAAAAAAAGTATTGTATTTTTTATTTACATCATGTATTTAGTGTTGCATCACTACACCATCCATTTCTGCACATCCCAATGAATGTCAAAAACACAGGAAGGAAAGCAACACCGTGAACCAGCCCGAGTATAATAACCAAGAAAATGAGTTTGAAAAAAGTCCTGAAGATGTAGCTCTCTGAGAAATAGAGCGCCACCACCCCTAAAAGGATGGAGACGGCTCCTTGCACTATGGGATAACCCATCTGGGCCAGCGCATCCACAGCCTTTTCGTTCAAGTCGGCCTTGGCGCTCGAGACAAAAGCGTACGAGACATGGGCGGAAAAGTTGACTGAGAAACCGATTCCGATGATCAGATTTATCATGGAGATTGAGTCCAGATTCACGTCCCATAGCGCCATGAATCCAGCTATGCCCACGATGATCGACCCAATGGAGAAGGCCACCCACAGCGAACAGAGCGGGTTGGGTATCAGGAGTAAGGAGATCCCCAGCATCACCACTGTGGCAACCACGGTAGTCTGGATGGTGTTATCCACAATAACATTGTACTGGTCAAAGTAGATAAACACTGGATGATAAACTAGTAAATAGATGGGGCATTTTTCAGCAGTTTTTCTGAGGCTTATCAACATGTCCTTCTGTTTCTTTGACGTGCTGATGTTTAGCGTCTGAAGAAAAAAGCGAGATGAGCGGATCTTGTTGTCTGCAACCAAATTAATGTCCTGCCTGGTCATTGGACGTTGTTCCAAGAAGGGAAGCAGGTTGCTTTTGAAGGTATTTTCAGAGTTTATATCAAGATCCTTTGCAAAGTTTTGGAAAGAGTCAAGCCAGGAGAGAGAGAAGTTTTTGTCAACATTTTCCAACTTTTTAAAATCCGCAATGCACAAGCTGAGATTGTTGCGCTCGTCTTCTTCCCAGTAGGCAAGTGACTCATTAACAGCCACCATAACATTTGGACCATAGTGAGAGAAGTGCGTATTTTCGTTGTTGTAATATTTGATAATGTAGGAATCATCTAAAGCCAGGTTCTTTAGTTCAATTCCCTGCTTCAGTTCAACACATCCATAGATGCTGACAGCCAGAAATCCGGCGTAGAGAACCACAATGGACGCTTTGGTCCATTTCTGGGTCAGAAATGGCCCGTAATACTTCCCAAAGAAGCTGCTAATTGGTTGCTCCTCCTCTGTCCCGGTGTCATGATCATAGGCCCCACCAACGCAGCAGATTCCATACCTTCTCGACTTCCCAGGAGGACAATCCACTGGAATCTTTACACAGGTGAACCAGTGCCGGTTGCTAGTTTCCCTCTGGCCATTCAGTGCTAAGAACGCGCCAAGGAATGTGATGTTGTAGATGTAACAGAAAAGAATAGCCGTGCCAGCGTACAGACAAAGGTCTGAACAGAGCCAAAGGGCAAGCTGAAGCCCAGGTACAGCGCCAGGACATCCGTTAGTGTGGTTATGGTGATGGCGATGGCGGCATCTTCGTAGGTGTCTGCCAGACGATCTATCACGCTGTCATGGACATTGGTCTTCTGCCAACAGGAGATCATGATAAACATGTCGTTCATTCCGATACCTTAAACAGAAAGGGTTTTGTCGTTGAGCGAGGCGGTGAACATGAACATGACTTCCCACTGGGCACACACTGGTTGAATCAACGTTGCTTCCATGTCGTTTCAATGAAATTACGTTGAACCAACGTGGAATAGATGTTGAATTGACGTCTGTGCCCAGTGGGTTGAGACAGAGAAAGGCATGAACAGTCATGACATTTAAGTAATTCATGACATTCAAATGAAGAATATGTGGTATGTTAGAAGAATCTCTGCGCCATATGACGCAGAAAGTTCAGCGAGACACTAGAATATGAATTTGAAGGCCTTACCCAGCGGACATAACTGGTTGCAATGACGTCATGGTCTGGTTGTATACTGGTTGTATAAGGAAGTTATTTGCCCTCTTGGTATGAAGCTATTATCTATACATTTTACCTTCAATGGAATGGAAAGGAAATACTAATGAAGGTTTGAAGAGAAAATACTCTTTCCCCTTACCCAGTATCAGTAAAGGGGAGGAAGAAACAGTCATGACGAAAGGCAGACCCATTAACAACAGCATCCCGAAACTGGAAAGAACTGCTAGTCCTGTAGAGAAGACTCCAATGGTGGCCACCCACACCTTATTCCTCACGTTGTCCAACCTGAAGAAATTAAAACCATTTAAAAGTGGATTTCCATACATACTGTGGACACGTGCTATGTAACTAACCCCCCCCACCACCCCACCACCCCTCACATGTACATCTACATGTCCATGTCATGTAACATAAAGTAGATAAATGCTTTACAAACCTTAAGCTTGAAACAATTGCAAAAGAAATGGTAATAGTATATGTGATGGAAAAAAATCTAATAATACTCTTTGGAACTTTGTCGAGTTCCCACTGTCTTGACATGGATGTAGAATATGACACCTAGAAAGAGATGACAAAAGTGTGTAAAAATACTTTTTTGTAAAAAAAAAAATGTTTTACAAAGAAACATACATTACAGGTCCAGGCAGGAAAATAGAAAACAAATAAAACATTGTAATATATACACAGGGATGTATGGTATCTCACCTCGGTGACATTTGTTGATTCTTCTGAGAGCAACTTAACAAACTCAGTCAGCCAAATGTTGGTTCTTGTTTCGTTGTATTCTCGTAAATAGTAAAAAAGTTGTATTGCCTCGGCACTTTGAACAATTGAGTTGTCTATTTTCACACTACCAAGTGTTGACCTCAAGGAAACCCTGCCAGATGTAGAATAATGCGCTGGAAACGTCAAATTAATAAGATCAACATTGCTAGCATTGTAGCCTATAATGTCCATATGGCATTGGTGTAACAACTTCCATTCACTGTTGCGCAAATATCCACATATTGCAACGGTTCACCCTCAAACTCCACAGTCATGTTCCGAACCTTGCTGTCCAAGACTAATATTTCCTCGAGTGGTGGCACTGTCAAAATGTTTGCCTTAGATGTGGCTATGAAACATGCATATGTTCCATCTGTGCTCAACCGCAAGCTGGAAAACATGGATTCATCTTGTGGGAAATATTCTTGAATAAATTTTCTTTCCTTCTTGGCTGGTCCATCTAGAGGTGTGAACTGCTTTTCGATATCGTTAGATGTTCTGTCTTCCAAAAAGTAAAATCCACTTCCTAATGCTGTCGAGATGATGATGGGTACAATGAAGAACCACCACGGATGTGTTCCTATGAAATGGCCGATTATTCTGAAACATATGCGGATCGTTTTTTCTATGCAGTCTGTGTGGCATTTCGCCAAAGCCATAGCTAATGTTGGCCTCTTTATAAATTCCGATCCACAAAAGCAGTCCTCAGAGCAGTAGAGTTCACCTCTCAGTGTGCCTCAGTCCTCAGTAACCAGAGCCTTTACTACCCCTTCATCAGGGGGATATTTGCATGTGATGGAGCCTGACTATCAGGTAGCAAAGAAAATTGGCCAATAACCATCTATGTCATCATTGGATGGATAGCTAGGTTGTTATCAATGGCACCAGTGTTCCACTGTCTGAACTTTATTCCTCATGTAGTGGAAGAAATGGAGCCCTCGTCCTCACACAGTTTTCAGTATAACAGTCATGAAAAAAACACAATTATTTTTTTAGTTTATGTATTGAAATAACATGATAAAGTGCATTATGAATGAATGAAAACTTTGTCAAAAGCTGGGTCATGTCAGTTGGTGTTTGGCTGTTGATGCCTCACAACTGAAATTCAAAACAGTCAAACTACACGACAAGATTCCAATTCAACAGTAATCATATCATATATTCATAGACTTTTCAACAAATAAAATCCTTGTTGTTCAGAGTTGTAAAATTATTTGTAGTATTTACTGTTATTGGCTCATATCAATCAGCATTGGAAACAATAGGTGCGTATTACTATGGAAGAAGCATCAAAAAGTAATTTGACCCTCTACAGATAAGCTTTTCGTTACTCCAGGGAACAATGGGTTGTTGTAGTGTTGATCACTCCTTTGTCAGTGATACTGTAGCATCATGTAATTAAAAGATTCTGAATGGACTATAATCTTTTTAAGGTAGACATCCTGGTTTCCCGTCCATCCAACCTGGGGGCAGTGCCGACTCACTACAGCACGCTGCTGACTGACCCTAGCTTTAAATCAGACAATGCTGGCTGGGATCTTGCAAACCCGAAATGAAATCTACAAAAAATGAACTACATTGGATACATCCATCTTGCAGAGGGATTATGTTATATGTAGTAGTTCAACAAAATGTGTCTGCTGTGTGAGCAACAATATTAATGAAATTGTGCATATTGGCAACACAGACCTGTGTAAACTCCTACTTTTAATGAATTGAAGGCAACATTGATACATTTATTAGATTTTTCTCAGGAAAATGATAGTAAGAAAACAACATCGGTCAGTGTTATTAAAATTTCCCTTTACACCTTCTCATCAGAGGCTTCCTTATTGCCCCAGAGCACAAGAGACCAATTTACCTGCAAGCCATATTATGTAAACCTCCAGTCACCATAAGGAAGTAAACCTCATGTAAAGACAGGGAGCTATATGCAACACCAGGATAAACCATGTTGTCTTTCAGGGAACAGAAATACACACGCAAACAAATGCACAGCTTATGCTTTAATACGGTATACAAACTCTATACTTTTTTTAGAGCATATATTCTCATGGATGAGAGTTTATTATTTTGACTGAGAGATGATCATACTGTGTCATTAAATATTAGCGGTTGAGATGAAACAATATGACATTAGATTGGATAACACATTGGCTCCTCTTGGCAATGAATTCATGAAGTACAGTGGGGAAAAAAACTATTTAGTCAGCCACCAATTGTGCAAGTTCTCCCACTTAAAAAGATGAGAGAGGCCTGTAATTGTCATCATAGGTACACGTCAACTATGACAGACAAAATGAGAAAAAATTATCCAGAAAATCACATTGTAGGAATTTTAATGAATTTATTTGCAAATTATGGTGGAAAATAAGTATTTGGTCAATAACAAAAGTTTCTCAATACTTTGTTATATACCCTTTGTTGGCAATGACACACGTCAAACGTTTTCTGTAAGTCTTCACAAGGTTTTCACACACTGTTGCTGGTATTTTGGCCCATTCCTCCATGCAGATCTCCTCTAGAGCAGTGATGTTTTGGGGCTGTCGCTGGGCAACACAGACTTTCAACTCCCTCCAAAGATTTTCTATGGGGTTGAGATCTGGAGACTGGCTAGGCCACTCCAGGACCTTGAAATGCTTCTTACGAAGCACTCCTTCGTTGCCCGGGCAGTGTGTTTGGGATCATTGTCATGCTGAAAGACCCAGCCACGTTTCATCTTCAATGCCCTTGCTGATGGAAGGAGGTTTTCACTCAAAATCTCACGATACATGGCCCCATTCATTCTTTCCTTTACACGGATCAGTCGTCCTGGTCCCTTTGCAGAAAAACAGCCCCAAAGCATGATGTTTCCATCCCCATGCTTCACAGTAGGTATGGTGTTCTTTGGATGCAACTCAGCATTCTTTGTCCTCCAAACACGACGAGTTGAGTTTTTACCAAAAAGTTATATTTTGGTTTCATCTGACCATATGACATTCTCCCAATCCTCTTCTGGATCATCCAAATGCACTCTAGCAAACTTCAGACGGGCCTGGACATGTACTGGTTTAAGCAGGGGGACACGTCTGGCATTGCAGGATTTGAGTCCCTGGCGGCGTAGTGTGTTACTGATGGTAGGCTTTGTTACTTTGGTCCCAGCTCTCTGCAGGTCATTCACTAGGTCCCCCCGTGTGGTTCTGGGATTTTTGCTCACCATTCTTGTGATCATTTTGACCCCACGGGGTGAGATCTTGCGTGGAGCCCCAGATCGAGGGAGATTATCAGTGGTCTTGTATGTCTTCCATTTCCTAATAATTGCTCCCACAGTTGATTTCTTCAAACCAAGCTGCTTACCTATTGCAGATTCAGTCTTCCCAGCCTGGTGCAGGTCTACAATTTTATTTCTGGTGTCCTTTGACAGCTCTTTGGTCTTGGCCATAGTGGAGTTTGGAGTGTGACTGTTTGAGGTTGTGGACAGGTATCTTTTATACTGATAACAAGTTCAAACAGGTGCCATTAATACAGGTAACGAGTGGAGGACAAAGGAGCCTCTTAAAGAATAAGTTACAAGTCTGTGAGAGCCAGAAATCTTGCTTGTTTGTAGGTGACCAAATACTTATTTTCCACCATAAGTTGCAAATAAATTCATAAAAAATCCTACAATGTGATTTTCTGGATTTTTTTTCCTCAATTTGTCTGTCATAGTTGACGTGTACCTATGATGAAAATGACAGGCCTCTCTCATCTTTTTAAGTGGGAGAACTTGCACAATTGGTGGCTGACTAAATACATTTTTTCCCCACTGTATATCTTTAGTCATCTGAGTCTCGATAGCTCTGATCACTAGGCTACCTAAGCATGCAATTGGCCAGGCAGCTGTGATTCTATTCATTTGATTTAAATAATTACATTTACATTTACGTCATTTAGCAGACGCTCTTATCCAGAGCGACTTACAAATTGGTGCATTCACCCTATAGCCAGTGGGATAACCACTTTACAATATGTTTTTTTTTATTTTATTTTATTTTTTATTTTATTTTATTATTATATTTATTTATTTATTTTTTAGGGGGTGGGGGGGTAGAAGGATTACTTTATCCTATCCCAGGTGTTCCTTAAAGAGGTGGGGTTTCAAATGTCTCCGGAAGGTGGTGAGTGACTCCGCTGTCTTGGCGTCGTGAGGGAGCTTGTTCCACCATTGGGGTGCCAGAGCAGCGAACAGTTTTGACTGGGCTGAGCGGGAACTATGCTTCCGCAGAGGAAGGGGAGCCAGCAGGCCAGAGGTGGATGAACGCAATGCCCTCGTTTGGGTGTAGGGACTGATCAGAGCCTGAAGGTACAGAGGTGCCGATCCCCTCACAGCTCCATAGGCAAGCACCATGGTCTTGTAACAGATGCGAGCTTCAACTGGAAGCCAGTGGAGTGTGCGGAGGAGCGGGGTGACGTGAGAGAACTTGGGAAGGTTGAACACCAGATGGGCTGCGGCATTCTGGATGAGTTGTAGGGGTTTAATGGCACAGGCAGGGAGCCCAGCCAACAGCGAGTTGCAGTAATCCAGACGGGAGATGACAAGTGCCTGGATTAGGACCTGTGCCGCTTCCTGTGTAAGGCAGGGTCGTACTCTCCGAATGTTGTAGAGCATGAACCTGCAGGATCGGGTCACCGCCTTGATGTTATCGGAGAACGACAGGGTGTTGTCCAGGGTCACGCCAAGGCTCTTCGCACTCTGGGAGGAGGACACAACGGAGTTGTCAACTGTGATGGCGAGATCATGGAACGGGCAGTCCTTCCCCGGGAGGAAGAGCAGCTCCGTCTTGCCAAGGTTCAGCTTGAGGTGGTGATCCGTCATCCATACTGATATGTCTGCCAGACATGCAGAGATGCGATTCGCCACCTGGTTATCAGAAGGGGGAAAGGAGAAGATTAGTTGTGTATCGTCAGCGTAGCAATGATAGGAGAGGCCATGTGAGGATATGACAGAGCCAAGTGACTTGGTGTATAGGGAGAATAGGAGAGGGCCTAGAACTGAGCCCTGGGGGACACCAGTGGTGAGAGCACGTGGTGCGGAGAAAGCTTCTCGCCACGCCACTTGGTAGGAGCGACCGGTCAGGTAGGACGCAATCCAGGAGTGAGCCGCGCCGGAGATGCCCAGCTCGGAGAGGGTGGAGAGGAGGATCTGATGGTTCACAGTATCAAAGGCAGCAGACAGGTCTAGAAGGACAAGAGCAGAGGAGAGAGAGTTAGCTTTAGCAGTGCGGAGAGCCTCCGTGACACAGAGAAGAGCAGTCTCAGTTGAATGACCAGTCCTGAAACCTGACTGGTTTGGATCAAGAAGGTCATTCTGAGAGAGATAGCAAGAGAGTTGGCTAAAGACGGCACGCTCAATAGTTTTGGAAAGAAAAGAAAGAAGGGATACTGGTCTGTAGTTGTTGACATCAGTGGGATCGAGTGTTGGGTTTTTGAGAAGGGGTGCAACTCTCGCTCTCTTGAAGACGGAAGGGACATAGCCAGCGGTCAAGGATGAGTTGATCAGCGAGGTGAGGTAGGGGAGAAGGTCACCGGAGATGGTCTGGAGAAGAGAGGAGGGGATGGGGTCAAGCGGGCAGGTTGTTGGGCGGCCTGCAGTCACAAGTCGCAGGATTTTATCTGGAGAGAGAGGGGAGAAAGAAGTCAAAGCATAGGGTAGGGCAGTGTGAGCAGGACCAGCAGTGTCATTAGACTTAACAAACGAGGATCGGATGTCGTCAACCTTCTTTTCAAAGTGGTTGACGAAGTCATCCACAGAGAGAGAGGGGGGGGGGGGGGGGATTCAGCAGGGAGGAAAATGTGGCAAAGAGCTTCCTAGGGTTAGAGGCAGATGCTTGGAATTTAGAGTGGTAGAAAGTGGCCTTAGCAGCAGAAACAGATGAAGAAAATGTAGAGAGGAGGGAGTGAAAAGATGCCAGGTCGGCAGGGAGTTTAGTTTTCTTCCATTTCCGCTCCGCTGCCCGGAGCTCTGTTCTGTGAGCTCGCAATGAGTCATCAAGCCACGGAGCTGGAGGGGAGGACCGAGCCGGCCGGGAGGATAGGGGACACAGAGAGTCAAAGGATGCAGAAAGGGAGGAGAGGAGGGTTGAGGAGGCAGAATCAGGAGATTGGAGGGAGAAGGATTGAGCAGAGGGAAGAGATGATAGGATGGAAGAGGAGAGAGTAGTGGGAGAGAGAGAGCGAAGGTTGCGGCGGCGCATTACCATCTGTGTAGGGGCAGAGTGAGTAGTGTTGGAGGAGAGCGAGAGAGAAAAGGATACAAAGTAGTGGTCGGAGACATGGAGGGGAGTTGCAGTGAGATTAGTAGAAGAGCAGCATCTAGTAAAGATGAGGTCAAGCGTATTGCCTGCCTTGTGAGTAGGGGGGGACGGTGAGAGGGTGAGGTCAAAAGAGGAGAGGAGTGGAAAGAAGGAGGCAGAGAGAAATGAGTCAAATGTAGACGTAGGGAGGTTGAAATCCCCCAAAACTGTGAGGGGTGAGCCATCCTCAGGAAAGGAACTTATCAAGGCGTCAAGCTCATTGATGAACTCTCCAAGGGAACCTGGAGGGCGATAGATGACAAGGATATTAAGCTTAAATGGGCTAGTGACTGTGACAGCATGGAATTCAAATGAGGAGATAGACAGATGGGTTAGGGGAAAAATTGAGAATGTCCACTTGGGAGAGATGAGGATTCCTGTGCCACCACCCCTCTGACCAGATGCTCTAGGGGTATGCGAGAACACATGCTCAGACGAGGAGAGAGCAGTAGGAGTAGCAGTGTTTTCAGTGGTAATCCATGTTTCCGTCAGCGCCAGGAAGTCGAGGGACTGGAGGTTAGCATAGGCTGGGATGAAGTCAGCCTTGTTGGCAGCAGAACGGCAGTTCCAGAGGCTGCCTGAGACCTGGAACTCCAGGTGTGGGGTGCGTGCAGGGACCACCAGGTTAGAGAGGCAGCAGCCACGCGGTGTGAGGCGTTTGTGTAGCCTGTGCGGAGAGGAGAGAACAGGGATAGGCAGAGGCATAGTTGACAGGCTGTAGCAAATGGCTACAATAATGCAGAGGAGATCGGAATGAAATGAACTAAACATCTGGGAAAGGAGAGAGTAGGGCCTCCCTCACCAAAACTCCCAAATATAACTCACCCAACTTCCACCTCAGAAACTATAATTGTTTCACTGAACCACCCGAATAAAAACTCTCGCAACTTCCACTTTAGAAATTAGAATTGTTGTGAACTACAGCGGTTCAATGTTTCAAGGAATAGACTCAACTTACTTTATTCAGCTAGCTAACTATGACGCCATAGCTAACTAGCATGCTAGCATCCAATAACACACAGTTTAGCACCAATACTTGGTTACAACAAACTACCAATAGTGTGTTAACACACTAAACAGATAATTCGTGTCCGTGTCTAGTTCCTTTCATAACGCAGCAATAATTAAACGTTGGCTAGCTAGCACAAATATATTGTATTTAGCTGCTACAGTACAGCTAGCTGGTCGTGTTGGCTAGCTAGCAATGGCTGCTGTGTTGACTTTGTTTGAAAAACGGCGGCGCTGCGAACAAATGTAACTGGCTAAAAGGATATTGTATCTAGTTGCTACCGTTGCTAATAGCTACTCGCCAGCTAGTCCAGGAGGTGAGTTAGCTAGCTAGCTAGCTTCGTGCTACACCCGGCACCGCCGAATACAATGCTAACCTACAATAACTACCCACAACAGCCCACGATGCCTACCTACAATACCTAACTACAATCTAAATACATAATTTAAGCCTTACTCGACAAAGCCCAAGCTATGTATAAAGCCAAACTTACCCGACGCCAGCTGTCTGGGTGGCAGACAAGAAGACATTTGTCTTCTGCAATCAGTAGCTGTAATTAAGTACAGTAGCTACTAACTACCTAACGTTAATGCCTCAGATAATGAGGTTAGAAAAACAGCTGAATGGTAGGTAGCTAGCTGTCTTAATTACAGGTACTCTTAAGCGTGAAATAACATTGGAAACAACTATCCACCGTTGCTAAAAGTTACCAGTAGCTACCCGCTAGCTAGCTAGCTTTATTGGTCCAGGTAGTGGGTTAGCTAGCCTCGTGCTTCGCCGGGCTCCGCCGTATACAATACTTACCTACAATAATTACCTACAATAACCTACAATAACTACCTAAATAAACTACCTACAATACCTAACTACAACTACCTACCTACAATCTAAATACATGGTTTAAGCTTTACTCAACACCATATAAGAAGCCAAGCTTACCTCCTGCTAGAGAAAACACAACCTCTCCCGACCACTCTCGACCGATGTACTATTTAAATTGTGTGACGTGCATCGTAATAAACTGAATTAAACTAAAGTTCTAAACAACATGGCCAAATCACCTCAGATTTCGGTCACTTAAAACCAACAATTTATTAAAACTGAATAGGACATTATAAAGTCTTCATAAGCACTACATAAATGGTTCACAAATCATTTATTTAAAAAGTCATAGTAAGGTTGATATAAGGGTGGTATTTGCTTTTTCAATATAATCTCTTCTCAACCATCTTTGCTACATCTGTCTGTGTGCTGGCACTGAGTGATGTGTACTGTATTTTGTGTTATGGTCTGGCTGCTGTGTTTTGTAATGGTAGCTTAGTGGTTAAGAGCGTTGTGCCAGTAACCGAAAGGTTGCTGGTTCTAATCCCCGAGCCGACTAGGTGAAAATCTGTCGATGTGCCCTTGAGCAAGGCACTTAACCCTAATTGCTCCTGTAAGTCGCTCTGGATAAGAGCGTCTGCTAAATGACTAAAATGTTATGTTAAAATGAGTACAGACAGTAGGGAAACTGAGAGTAGTCCTCCTCACCTTCCTGTCACTGGACACATTGGTGGCAGATTATTTGAACCAATAATAAGAACCTCCAATTCTTGAACTATTTCATTTTGGGGAAGATCTCAACTGCAATACTCCTCACACCATCTCTCCTCATCTCCTTCTCAAAAACCCATTGGATGAGAAAGCCAGAAGTCCCTCCCCTCTGACCTTCTCCTCCAATGGGTTTTGAGAAGGAGACAAGGAGAGAGAGGACGCGAGGAGTATACACCACTAGCTGCAGTAGTACATTCATCCAAGTGTGTGTCATTTGTTGTTGCGCGTAGTTAAATAGCCAAAAGACAACACCTATATCAGATGTGAAATGCAGTTGGGCAGATGGGATGCATAACAGCATCACCTGCAAATATTATTCATATCAGACACATATCAGATTATGTTGTGGTCATGTTCTATAGGAATTCGCAGTACTGTCCCTTTAAATAAAAGTCCACTCCTTCTTATCGACTGATGTGTGACGTAGCCGTGTATACTATTCGCGAAGACAGTACAGTATTAAGATATGCAGAAACTACTTTTTCAATAGAAATCCCCCGATCACACTTGTATGCAATTTTAGCTAGCGAAGCTCATGCGCAGAAACACGTCATCGGGTCAAACGGTCGTGTCGCGCCGAACTGCTCATGTGCAGGCGGACAAATGAAAGGCACTCCTTCGATATAAAGTTGTTTTTGACAAAAATGAAAATGTGTCAGTTTGTCACTTTCACGAGGTTGTAGTAATGACAGGTTCAGTTACTCAAGACATTCGTTTGAATCTAGGCTTTGCCTTTAGAATTTGAGAAAACTAAGGAAGGATGTTTTACTTCTACCAATGGACGCGTTTGAGTGGTAAGGCGAAAGCAACCGGCTGTAGACGAAAATCGAGGAGTGAAGTCTGGGGAAGGCGCATCTGGGACACCCAAAAGTCGGACGCTAATGTTATTTTCCAACAGCAAGGCTCAGATCAACATGGCAGTGTTGCCATTGTTTATAAAAGTGTTTCTTTATAATGTCGAAATAAACCCCCGTATCACACTCACAAACTGAAATCATGTGTGTTCGCAATCAGTTACCGAGAGAGTGCCGCAAATATAACATTCATTTGTATATATGCTATCCACTGTATAGCCTACATGAAGTCGGTTCCTGTTTCAGTCATGTCTTTGGTCACACTCGCGTAGAGTGGGTCAAACAAAAACACTAATGATTGGTTGACAATAGAGCCTTCCACAATGCAGACGATGGCTGCAGGATGAAGCTGGTGAAGAGCAATTGCAGAAAACTTGTAGTCGACGACAGTCAAAACTTCATGACCTTTGATCACATGATTTCTGTCAAGTTCATGCAGTCGACATGTAGGCGCAAGTCGGACAATTTTTATAATGCAACACACAGCATTATAATGGTCACCGATTTGACAAAAGTGATCCGCTCGAACGCACCCATTGATTTGCCCCTCCCCCCCAAACCGGGGTCTGGTCTCTCGAGTCTTGCTTCGCGACTTGTTTCCGGAATTATCGTGATGTTGTGCCTGTCGGTTTGGAAACTGTGCTACTGCACTTTAGTTGGAAGAAACAACACAGAACACACAGTATAGTTTGTATTAGGCCTACACGATTATGAAATTATTATAAACGTGCAATTAACTAATTCAGATTTAATTTCTCTAAAACCATGGCAGGATGAACGGAATTGGGTGGGTGGGTCTCTTTGAAAACGTTTTTAATTGTTGTGTAATTGTCATGCATGCTGTATTTCGTAATATTCCGTGTAATTGTCATGCATGCTGTATTTCGCAATATTCCGTGGATTTGATGGTCAGGTGGAATAACTGGAATTTGAGCAGAGTCACGCGATAAAAAAGGGACCTCTTTCTCCACGAGCAGAAGGACTACAAATGCTTTCGGTTTTTCGCATATCTACTTTGTCGAAAGGATTCAACTAGGACAGATGCCTTGTCCAGTCCACACTGTACTACTGCCTAGGGTCAGGAGACCGCTTTCACGATATGTGAGGCAAAGGTCAGAAGGAGGAACCCGTCTAACTTGCTGAACGCGAACTCGTGTTGTAATGGAGACTCCGACTCAGAGGAACGGATTCAGAAGAGAAAGTTACATTCTCTCTGTGGATGTGGGGACAACGTCAATCAGATGTCACGTTTACGACAAAGAAGCCCAGATTCGAGGATCATACATCACCAAGGTATTGGATAGGCTCGATTCAATAGAGCTATGAGAAATTGAAATTAAGTGTCTCCGAATTAGGCATGCTAAATCATATGAATTAGGATTATTTCATGAGTATGGACCCTGGTAATGGTTGTTGCTGGCACGCATAATCTCCACATTGTCGATTTTACTGGTATGATATGTTTACAGGTGAATCTCTTGTATCCCGAACCGGGCTTGGTCGAGTTGGACCCCGAAGAGCTGTGGAGAGGATTCGTTAAGGTGGTGAATGGTGCTGTGCAAGGTTTGTACCATTTCCCACCTCTCCATATGGATAGGCCCACCATGGTATATTTAGCCCTGGATTTGACCTCAATGGCACTCTTCTGATATAGTTCCAGTCATCTAGGTTTTGTACTGGCTCTGGTTTTCATCCTTGCCTTATAGGCAAATCAGATATTGAGGTGTTGGAGATCTCTCTAGCCAATCATTGACACTAACTGATCAGCTAGTACCTTTTTACACTACTAGGCCAAACTGAGTCAAGTCGAGCTGTACTGGGCTGGCCTGGTTAAGCATCCACCATAGTTGCTGGAAGCGTGCTAGAAAGGCCAGTATGGTTTGGGTAGGCCCTAGAGTGGGAGTCAGGTATAAGATTGAGGAAGAAACATGGATCTGAGTTGTACAATTTTGATAAAGTGCCTGTAAAGGGAGAAGAAAAAAAATTTTTTTAAATCTTCAATACTGACCATTTGACACACTATCCAACATCTGTGTGTCTGTTTCTCACACATACTGATGATGGGCATTGCTTGAAGTGGACTGAAATAGGTGATGTAACTCATTTTGGGTGCTGGTACTGTTTATATTTAGGTTTCGGAACTCAGTTTCGGTTTCGTTCCTGAAGTCAAGGGACGATGTTCCTAATCCAATGTATAGCCCGGCCTGGTGTTAAAATAACCCTTGGTTCTATAAATGTTTAGTGTTGACAAGGAACCAGATAGGTAGACCTATAGGCAGGGTTGCTGGTTTGGATATAACAGGAACCAGAGAAGGTTGACCTATAGGCAGGGTTGCTGGTTTGGATATAACAGGAACCAGTTCATCATGTCTGACAGAAACCAATCTGGTGGGATTCTAGAGATCCAAGATGCTGTACCCTTGTTGTACTCATGTTGTACCCTTGAGCTAGGCCCCTAAAACTGCTCCAGGGGCACCGCACTGTGACTGACCCTGGCTTCCAACCCCTTGGGGAGTTAATGTGTGTTTCTGTTGGGGTTGGGCTAGGGCAGGGTTGCACATCCTGGTCCTGGAGTAGAGCTGCAGGGTCTGCTGGCTTTTGCTCAGGTTGCTGGTCCAGGGGTGGGAATCTCTCTCCGTTCTTCTGTGTCACTTCTGCCAAAATAAGAAAAAGAAATAATGCATGCACTCACTAACTGTAAGTCGCTCTGGATAAGCGCGTCTGCTAAATGACTAAAAATGTAAAATGAAATGCCATGCTCTAGGAGCTCCGATGCTAATGTCGTTTTCACCAGCGTTTTGATAGCAAGCTGTTTTCACCAGCGTTTTGATAGCAAGCTGTTTTCACCAGCGTTTTGATAGCAAGCTGTTTTCACCAGCGTTTTGATAGCAAGCTGTTTCCACCAGCGTTTTGATAGCAAGCTGTTTTTCACCAGCGTTTTGATAGCAGCTGTTTTCACCAGCGTTTTGATAGCAAGCTGTTTTCACCAGCGTTTTGATAGCAAGCTGTTTTCACCAGCGTTTTGATAGCAAGCTGTTTTCACCAGCGTTTTGATAGCAAGCTGTTTTTCAACCAGCGTTTTGATAGCAAGCTGTTTCCACCAGCGTTTTGATAGCAAGCTGTTTTCACCAGCGTTTTGATAGCAAGCTGTTTTCACCAGCGTTTTGATAGCAAGCTGTTTTCACCAGCGTTTTGATAGCAAGCTGTTTTCACCACGTTTTGATAGCAAGCTGTTTTCACCAGCGTTTTGATAGCAAGCTGTTTTCACCAGCGTTTTGATAGCAAGCTGTTTTCACCAGCGTTTTGATAGCAAGCTGTTTTCACCAGCGTTTTGATAGCAAGCTGTTTTCACCAGCGTTTTGATAGCAAGCTGTTTTCACCAGCGTTTTGATAGCAAGCTGTTTTCACCAGCGTTTTGATAGCAAGCTGTTTTCACCAGTGTTTTGATAGCAAGCTGTTTTCACCAGGGTTTTGATAGCAAGCTGTTTCCACCAGCGTTTTGATAGCAAGCTGTTTTCACCAGGTTTTGATAGCAAGCTGTTTTCACCAGCGTTTGATAGCAAGCTGTTTTCACCAGCGTTTTGATAGCAAGCTGTTTTCACCAGCGTTTTGATAGCAAGCTGTTTTCACCAGCGTTTTGATAGCAAGCTGTTTTCACTCAGCGTTTTGATAGCAAGCTGTTTCACCAGCGTTTTGATAGCAAGCTGTTTTCACCAGCGTTTTGATAGCAAGCTGTTTTCACCAGCGTTTTGATAGCAAGCTGTTTTTCACCAGCGTTTTGATAGCAAGCTGTTTTCACCAGCGTTTTGATAGCAAGCTGTTTTCACCAGCGTTTTGATAGCAAGCTGTTTTCACCAGCGTTTTGATAGCAAGCTGTTTTCAGCAGGGCATCACTTCTGCCATAAACACACAAATGTTCACTTACTGATGGCGTTGATGAATCATGTGTATGTTCCTCTCTCTGTCTCTCCCTGGTTGTTTTAGATTCAGGTTTACAGATGCGTCAGATGGAGGCCCTGGGCATCTCCACTCAGAGAGGCACCTTCACCACGTGGGACAGGTACATTTTACATAGGCTAAAACCACACTGTACAATTTAGGGAGGTACACAGAAAGAGTACATGTACACTGTTAATACATACAGCAGGGTGGGCAGTCTCACCCTGTTAATACATACAGCAGGGTGGGCAGTCTCACCCTGTTAATACATACAGCAGGGTGGGCATCTCACCCTGTTAATACATAAGCAGGGTGGGCAGTCTCACCCTGTTAATACATACAGCAGGGTGGGCAGTCTCACCCTGTTAATACATGCAGCAGGGTGGCAGTCTCACCCTGTTAATACATACAGCAGGGTGGGCAGTCTCACCCTGTTAATACAGCAGGTGGGCAGTCTCACCCTGTTAATACATGCAGCAGGGTGGGCAGTCTCACCCTGTTAATATACATACAGCAGGGTGGGCAGTCTCACCCTGTTAATACATACAGCAGGGTGGGCAGTCTCACCCTGTTAATACATACAGCAGGGTGGGCAGTCTCACCCTGTTAATACATACAGCAGGGTGGGCAGTCTCACCCTGTTAATACATACAGCAGGGTGGGCAGTCTCACCCTGTTAATACATACAGCAGGGTGGGCAGTCTCACCCTGTTAATACATACAGCAGGGTGGGCAGTCTCACCCTGTTAATACATGCAGCAGGGTGGGCAGTCTCACCCTGTTAATACATGCAGCAGGGTGGGCAGTCTCACCCTGTTAATACATACAGCAGGGTGGGCAGTCTCACCCTGTTAATACATGCAGCAGGGTGGGCAGTCTCACCCTGTTAATACATAAGCAGGGTGGGCAGTCTCACCCTGTTAATACATACAGCAGGGTGGGCAGTCTCACCCTGTTAATACATGCAGCAGGGTGGGCAGTCTCACCCTGTTAATACAGCAGGGCGGGCAGTCTCACCCTGTTAATACAGCAGGGTGGGCAGTCTCACCCTGTTAATACATGCAGCAGGGTGGGCAGTCTCACCCTGTTATATACATACAGCAGGGTGGGCAGTCTCACCCTGTTAATACATACAGCAGGGTGGGCAGTCTCACCCTGTTAATACATACAGCAGGGTGGGCAGTCTCACCCTGTTAATACATACAGCAGGGTGGGCAGTCTCACCCTGTTAATACATACAGCAGGGTGGGCAGTCTCACCCTGTTAATACATACAGCAGGGTGGGCAGTCTCACCCTGTTAATACATGCAGCAGGGTGGGCAGTCTCACCCTGTTAATACATGCAGCAGGGTGGGCAGTCTCACCCTGTTAATACATACAGCAGGGTGGGCAGTCTCACCCTGCGAGGGCCGGGGTCGCAGGCTTTTGTTCCAGCGGAGTAATAACACGTACCTACGGTTAGACTACGGTTAGACTACGGTTAGACTACGGTTAGACTAAGGTTAGACTACGGTTAGTAGTCCCCTGTAGCTCAGTTGGTAGAGCATGGCGCTTGCAACGCCAGGGTTGTGGGTTCGTTTCCCACAGGGGGGCCAGTATGAAAAATGTATGCACTCACTAAACTGTAAGTCGCTCTGGATAAGAGCTTCTGCTAAATGACTAAAATGTAAAAATGTTAGTTGATTAGTAGAATCAAGCGTGCTACTGCTTGGCTGGAACAAAAGCCTGCACTCACACAGGACCTTATTGATCCCCAGGGCTGAACAACAGTATGTTTGTATCTGTGTTGATATCCCACCTCACACCTCTCTCTCACACGCACACACACGCACACACACGCACACGCACACACACACACACACACACACAGGAAAACAGGAGTTCCCTTTCACAACTTCATCAGCTGGCAGGACCTGAGGGCAGTGGAGCTGGTGAGGTCATGGAACAACTCCTGCACCATGAAGGTTAGTCTGGGGTCATTCAAAGTTCACAGTGAGGTCACAGTTCAGCAGACCTTGTGATAATATGGTAGAGGTCATAGGTCAGCAGACCTTGTGATAACACAGTATAGGTCAGCAGACCTTGTGATAATATGGTGGAGGTCATAGGTCAGCAGACCTTGTGATAATAAGGTGGAGGTCATAAGTCATTAGACCTTGTGATAATACAGTATAGGTCATAGGTCAGCAGACCTTGGGATAATACAGTATAGGTCATAGGTCAGCAGACCTTGGGATAATACAATATAGGTCATAGGTCAGCAGACCTTGGGATAATACAGTATAGGTCAGCAGACCTTGGGATAATACAGTATAGGTCATAGGTCAGCAGACCTTGGGATAATACAGTATAGGTCAGCAGACCTCATAGGTTCCAGCAGACCTAGATAATACAGTATAGGTCATAGGTCAGCAGACCTTGGGATAGTACAGTATAGGTCATAGGTCAGCAGACCTTGTGATAATACAGTATAGGTCATAGGTCAGCAGACTTTGTGATAATACAGTATAGGTCATAGGTCAGCAGACCTTGTGATAATACAGTATAGGTCATAGGTCAGCAGACCTTGGGATAATACAGTATAGGGGCCTCTATCTTTGGGCTCTGATTATTAATAATGATGACGATAACTTGCCTTGGAAAATGCGTTTCTTGCATTTTGCTATACCAAACAAAATGCAAATTACATCAAAACATTGATTTGGATTTGTTGTTTGTTTGTACTTTTCTATATGCAATTCAGCTTTTAGATGACTATTTCTACAAAATAAAACTAAACTAAATAGGAATGATAAGAACTGTGGCTGTGTTGTGTCCGTGACAATGGCAGGCGATCCACAGCGTTATGATGGTGCTGCACTTCCTGTCCAAAAACAAGCGCTTCCAGGCGGCCAGCCTCATAGTCTTCTCCACCCAACACGTCACCTTCCGCCTGGCCTGGGCCCTCCAACACTGGAAACAGGTGTGTGTGTGTGTGTGGCAGAGAGGGAGTTCAAGTGTTTGGGAGGGGTGGGGGGAGTGAGTGAGGCTGTGTATGAGACAGAGAGGGAGAACATGTGGGTCGGGGGAGAGTGAGAGAGGCAGGTTTGTGTGCACATTCTGTAGTCAGAAAATACATTCTGTAGTCAGAAAATACATTCTGTAGTCAGAAAATACATTCTGTGGTCAGAAACTACATTCTGTGGTCAGAAACTACATTCTGTGGTCAGAAAATACATTCTGTGTTCAGAAACTACATTCTGTGGTCAGAAACTACATTCTGTGGTCAGAAAATACATTTTGTATTCAGAAAAGTCCTCTGCTGTTTCTACCAACAGTATGTCTGAATCACACAATAACGGGCCTCTATGAATGATCACACAATAATGGGCCTCTATGAATGATCACACAATAATGGACCTCTATGAATGGGCTTTGGTATTATACCTTGACTCATAGCCTAGGTGTGTAGCATGACTTTTACCCCAGTTCTCCCTGACACAGAACCTGGCCTTCATGGACTCTGATTGGACGTACTGTAACTGACTGCTATAATAATATCACTGGCACACCGGCCAATTGTAGACGGAGATAAACTTTTCCTAGAATCGTCCTACATTGAATTGTGTTGACCTGAATCTAACTATATAGGCTACTAATCTAGATGTGTTGAAAAGCCTACCTGGCAACACTTCAAACACTAATGGCCTAAAGGCACACTGGGCTTTTCGATATGAATCATAATACACAAATATTGTAGTCCTTACAGAGCAAAGTCACTGGCCTCCAGTTCTTTTAGTAGCCTTGCATGTGATTATTGAGGAACTGATTGGGAGCAAGAGAACAGGAGAGGGACAGCAGTATATATCTCAATCCTCTTCTCTTTCCTATATCCGATCCGCCCTCTCTCTCCTCCCGTCTCCTTCTCCTCCTCCCTCTCTCCCTTCTCTCCCCTCCCTCTCCTCTCTCTCTCCCTCTCTCTCCCTTCTCTCTCCTCTCTCCCCTCTCTCTCCTCCCTCTCTCTCTCTCCTCTCTCTCTCCCCTCTCTCCCTCTCTCACCCCTCACAGATAAGTCAAGCAGTAGCAGAGGGCAACTGCTACTTTGGGACAATAGACACCTGGTTGCTTTATAAACTCACAAAAGGTAGGTGGTATGTTTCCTTATTCTCGTGTGGGTGCATGTGTGTGTGTACAGTACGTGACTGGCCAAGCCTGTGTGTATCTTTTAAGCTGTATTTATGATTAAGGACGCACACACTCCAGGAAATTCAAGTATATTCTTTATTTGAATTTTAAAAAATGTAATCTTGTACAAACAAACAGAAATACGCATCCACCACTCCAGCTAGATACCTTTTTCTACAGCACCTGTCCAAATCCATATCTTCAAGCTTCCCAAAATACTGATGTGTTAAAGGAAAAATTCCACCCAAACTACTTATTCCTATACTTTACAGTGTTAAATAACACTAGTATGTGAGATCAATATTTTTTGTGAACAAATGTTTCGTTTTGTAGTTTTTATAATAAGGAAATAAAAATGTATTGCAGCTCAAATCGACTACAAAACCCACAATGCAATGCTGTCTCTCTGGGCTGGATGGCTAGCTAGGTAGCTGGTTGGCAAACATACAGTGCCTTTGGAAAGTATTCAGACCCCTTGACTTCTTCCACATTTTGTTATGTTACAGCCTTATTCTAAAATGGATTTTGGAGAAGGAAAAAAAACAGTCCTCAGCAATCTACACACAATACATTTACATTTACGTCATTTAGCAGACGCTCTTATCCAGAGCGACTTACAAATTGGTGCATTCAACTTATACCCCATAATGACTGCAAATGTATTACAAATAAAAAACAGAAATACCTTATTTACATAAGTATTCAGACCCTTTGCTATGAGGCTCGAAATTGAGCTCAGGTGCATCCTGTTTCTATTGATAAATAATAAATAATAATTGGTCATTTAGCAGACGCTCTTATCCAGAGCGACTTACAGGAGCAATTGGGGTTAAGTGCCTTGCTCAAGGGCACATCGACAAATTTTTCACCTAGTGGGCTCGGGGATTAGAACCAGCGACCTTTTGGTTACTGGCACAACGCTCTTAACCACTAAGCTACCTCATCCTTGAGATGTTTCTACAACTTGATTGGAGTCCACCTGTGGACCAAAACATTTCTGCAGCATTGAAGGTCCCCAAGAATACAGTGGCCCCATCATTCTTAAGTGGAAGAAGTTTGGAACCACCAAGACTCTTCCTAGAGCTGTCCTCCCGGCCAAACTGGGAAATTGTGGGAGAACAGCCTTGGTCAGGGAGGTGACCAAGAACCCGCTGGTCACTCTGACAGTGACCAGCCTGAATGCCAAGCATCATGTCTGGAGGAAACCTGTCACCATCCCTACGGTGAAGCATGGTGGTGACAGCATCATGCTGTGGGGATGTTTTTCAGTGGCAGGGACGGAGACTAGTCAGGATCGAGGGAAAGATGAACGGAGCAAAGTACAGAGAGATCCTTGATGAAAACCTGCTCCAGAGCGCTCAGGACCTCAGACTGGGACGAAGGTTCACCTTCCAACAGGACAACGACCATAAGCACACAGCCAAGACAACGCAGGAGTGGCTTCGGGACAAGTCTCTGAATATCCTTGAGTGGCCCAGCCAGAGCCCGGACTTGAACCCGATCGAACATCTCTGGAGAGACCTGAAAACAGCTGTGCAGCAACACTCCCCATCCAACCTGACAGAGCTTGAGAGGATCTGCAGAGAAGAATGGGAGAAACTCCCCAAATACAGGTTTGCCAAGCTTGTAGCGTCATACCCAAGAAGACTCAAGGCTGTAATCGCTGCCAAAGGTGCTTCAACAAAGTGCTGAGTAAAGGGTCTGAATGCTTATGTAAATATGATATTTCAGTTTTTTATTTTGTATACATTTTCAAAAATGTCTAAAAACCAGTTTTTGCTTTGTCATTACGTGGTGTTTTGTGTAGATTTAATCCATTTTAGAATAAGGCTGTAACGTAACAAAATGTGGGAAAAGTCAAGGGGTCTGAATACTTTCCGAATCCACTGTAGCTCCACACAATAACACCAAAGTAAACATCAGCAGCTACAGTTGAAGTCGGAAGTTTACATACACTTAGTTTGGAGTCATTAAAACTCGTTTTTCAACCACTCCACACATTTCTTGTTAACAAACTATAGTCTTGGCAAGTCGGTTTGGACATGTACTTTGTGCATGACACAAGTCATTTTTCCAACAATTGTTTAGACAGATTATTTCACTTATAATTCACTGTATCACAATTCCAGTGGGTCAGAAGTTTAATAATAATAATAATAATATGCCATTTAGCAGACGCTTTTATCCAAAGCGACTTACAGTCATGCGTGCATACATTTTTTTTTTTGTGTGTATGGGTGGTCCCGGGGATCGAACCCACTACCTTAGCGTTACAAGCGCCGTGCTCTACCAGCTGAGCTACAGAGGACCACATACATTTTTTACATGTTTACATGTTTACATGTTTACATACACTAAGTTGACTGTGCCTTTTAAACAGCTTGGAAAATTCCAGAAAATGATGTCATGGCTTTAGAAGCTCCTGATAGGCTAATTGACATCATTTGAGTCAATTGGAGGTGTACCTGTGGATGTATTTCAAGGCCTACCTTCAAACTCAGTGCCTCTTTGCTTGACATCATGGGAAAATCAAAATAAATGAGCCAAGACCTCAGAAAAGAAATTGTAGACGTCCACAAGTCTGGTTCATCCTTGGGAGCAATATCCAAACGCCTGATGGTACCACGTTCATCTGTACAAACAATAGTACGCAAGTATAAACACCATGGAACCACGCAGCCATCATACCGCTCAGGAAGGAGACGCGTTCTGTCTCCTAGAGATGAACGTACTTCGGTGCGAAAAGTGCAAATCAATCCCAGAACAACAGCAAAGGACCTTGTGAAGATGCTGGAGGAAACAGGTACAAAAGTATCAATATCCACAGTAAAACGAGTCCTATATCGACATAACCTGAAAGGCAGCTCAGCAAGGAAGAAGTCACTGCTCCAAAACCGCCATAAAAAAGCCAGACTACGGTTTGCAACTGCACATGGGGACAAAGATCGTACTTTTTGGAGAAATGTCCTCTGGTCTGATGAAACAAAAATAGAACTGTTTGGCTATAATGACCATTGTTATGTTTGGAGGAAAAAGGGGGTTGCTTGCAAGCCGAAGAACACCATCCCAACCGTGAAGCACGGGGGTGGCAGCATCATGCTGTGGGGGTGCTTTGCTGCAGGAGGGACTGGTGCACTTCACAAAATAGATGGCATCATGAGGAAGGAAAATTATGTGGATATATTGAAGCAACATCTCAAGACATCAGTCAGGAAGTTAAAGCTTGGTCGCAAATGGGTCTTCCAAATGGACAATGACCCCAAGCGTACTACCAAAGTTGTGGCAAAATGGCTTAAGGACAACAAAGTCAAGGTATTGGAGTGGCCATCACAAAGCCCTGACCTCAATCCTATAGAACATTTGTGGGCAGAACTGAAAAGGCGTGTGCGAGCAAGGAGGCCTACAAACTTGACACAGTTACACCAGCTCTGTCAGGAGGAATGGGTCAAAATTCACCCAACTTATTGTGGGAAGCTTGTGGAAGGCTACCTGAAATGTTTGACCCAAGTTAAACAATTTAAAGGCAATGCTACCAAATACTAATTGAGTGTATGTAAACTTCTGACCCACTGGGAATGTGATGAAAGAAATAAAAGCTGAAATAAATCACTCTCTACTATTATTCTGACATTTCACATTCTTAAAATAAAGTGGTGATCCTAACTGACCTAAGACAGGGAATTTTTACTAGGATTAAATGTCAGGAATTGTGAAATAATCTGTCTGTAAACAATTGTTGGAAAAATGACTTGTGTCATGCACAAAGTAGATGTCCTAACCGACTTGCCAAAACCTATAGTTTGTTAACAAGAAATTTGTGGAGTGGTTGAAAAACGAGTTTTAATGACTCCAACCTAAGTGTATGTAAACTTACGACTTCAACTGTATTTGGCTAAGGTGTATGTAAACCTCAGACTCTTAAATTGATACTGCATTTTATTTAAGTGATTTTACAGCTATCAATTTAGGAGTCTACAATCTCACCATGTTCAACCAGCAGATCGATGTGCCTCAGAGTGGAGTCTGACATTTGCATTGGCACCATGCAATGCACCCTGGACTGAAGAGGCATACAAATAGGAGAAATGTGGTGGACCCTCTGTTAAATTACACATTTCTCGAGGTAGGAATATCGCAAAAAATATGATCAATGGTTAATTCGAGAGAAGACAACCTCCCACGCTATGACATCGGCCAGTATTGAAATCTGACATGTATGATAGACGTTTTCGCTATCTAAAAGTTGTATTCCTATTAACTTCCAGTGTAGTGAGAGCGACTTTACGCAATGCCAAGGAAAAACGGCTGTTTTTCTGCCTGCTTGAACGGCAAAAGCTCAGATAAAAATGAAATGACACCTGGAATCGATAGATCACTCAGAGATGCACAAAAACAATATAGCATTCAAAATGGGTGAATCTTTCCTTTAAGCTTGTGAGCATGTAAGCGTGTGTATTTCCATGTTAATGATGAATTGTTTCGCGGTTTAGCCTAGTGCTGCTAAGGTTTTGGGTTTCCTTGTTTTCGCAATCCTACTGCAGTCCTGTTTCCTCTGAAATCCCTCAGACACGTTGCATGACACAGTCAAGCGGGGATATGAGCTAATGATAGAATGTTCTTGGACAAATTGTTCTTGGTTCAGTGTCAATTGTACATGGTACATGGTCCCTGCCAAATAAACAAATATAATCGATCTGTATCTCTTCTCTAACCGATTCCAGGATTGGTCCATGCCACAGACTACTCTAATGCCAGTGCCACTGGGATATTTGATTCGTACCAGGTCGGTTTTTTCCTTGTGTAATAACTGTGTATCAGGGTGGGGTCAATTGCATTTAAATTCAGTCAATCCAGGAAGTAAACTGAAATTGCAATTAAAATGTATTCTCATAGAGAAGCGTTGAATTTTAGGTGAATTACTGTGTGTCTTTGTGTGTGTGTGTGCACACGTGTGCGTGCGTTCCCCACAGTTGTGCTGGAGTGAATTCCTGTGCTGTCTCATCTCGCTGCCTCTCTCCATCCTCCCCAAAGTACTGAACACTGGGTGAGTCACGTGATACTGGTCACATGACTCACATGTCTCTAGATTGCAGTCAGAATTGAGAGATCAGAGGAGAACAGGCCACTTAAATGGCAGTTAGAATCCAAAAAGAAGGCCTGTATAATGTAGAGATTAGAAAGGGAAAGGAAAGGGGGGGGATATCTAATCAGTTGTAAAACTGAATGCATTTAACTGAAATGTGTCTTCCACATTTAACCCAACCCCTCAGAATCAGAGAGGTGCGGAGGGCTGCCTGAATCGACATCCACGTCATCGGCGATGCTTTACTAAACTCTATTTGTTTAGTTTCTTATCACTTGTATAGTCCCTTCTTGTACAATGTATACTGTATATTGTCTGTTGTTTTAACTTAATGGCCTTTTAGTTTTTATAACGCAAAGCACATTTATGTGAAAAACAGACAATACAATTCTATGTTATCTTCTATCCATTATATAGAGGTAGGAGCCGATCAGCATAGCTACGTTACAGCAGGATACAGAGGCTACTGAGTTTCGTCCTGTTGTAACTGAGCTTTGCCGGGTTCCGTAAAGTGTCTTCTCTGCAAGTCATGTCAGACATTTCTATCACACAGTGGAGGCCGCTGAGGGGAGGAAGGCTCATAACGGCTTGAACGGAGTCAATGGAATGGTATCAAAACGCATCAAAGACGCGGTTTCCATGTGGTCGATACCATTCCATTGACTCCATTCCAGACATTATGATGAGCCATCCTCCCCTCAGCGGCCTCCACTGCTATCAATCATGGTCTATTTGTCCTCTTCTCCCTGATATCTAGTTACAGCGATAAAGCCTTATTAGATGTTGATTATCATTGTCGTATTTAATACCTATTCATTCATACATTATCTCCTCTTCTCCCTCATGCTCCACCAGTCACCACTTTGGATTGACAGATCCCTCCGTCTTTGGGGTGTCGATCCCTATCATGTCTGTTGTGAGTATCTCGTCTTTGCATCGCTGTCTCCACATCTTGGAAAGCGTCTGTTATCTTTATGGGATTACAGTATCTTTTGTTTTGTCTGCGTCACCAGCCGTGCTAGGTCGGTGTGTCTTCAGGTTATTCTGCTATCTTTGAGGGAATATGTCCTTTCAAAAATATCCACTTGCCTCATTAATTCTTAGCATCAGCTGTTTATTGCATGTTTTTAGAAACATACAGGGGATACAGTGCCTTCGGAAAGTATTCAGACCCCTTGATTTCTTCCACATTTTGTTATGTTACAGCCTTATTCTAAAATGGATTTTAAAAGAATCATCAGCAATCTATACACAATACCCCATAATGACAAAGTGAAAACAGGTTGTATCCCCCTAATGGTTAAGGTTAGGTTGTATCCCCTAAGGTTAAGTTAGGTTGTATCCACCTATGGTTAAGTTAGGATGTATCCCTAATGGTAAGTTAGGATGTTCCCCTAATGGTAAGGTTAGATGGATCCCCCTATGGTAAGGTTAGGATGTATCCCCCTAATGTTAAGGTTAGGATGTATCCCCTAATGTTAAGGTTAGGATGTATCCCTAATGGTTAAGGTTAGGATGATCCACCTAATGGTTAAGGTTAGGATTATCCCCTAATGGTTAAGGTTAGGATGTATCCCCCTAATGGTTAAGGTTAGGATGTATCCCCCTAATGGTTAAGGTTAGGATGTATCCCCCTAATGGTTAAGGTTAGGATGGATCCCCCTAATGGTTAAGGTTAGGATGGATCCCCCTAATGGTTAAGGTTAGGATGGATCCCCCTAATGGTTAAGGTTAGGATGGATCCCCCTAATGGTTAAGGTTAGGGTTTGGGAACAGTATACTGATCATAAATATGTTACCTCTCACCCTGTAGATGGCAGACCAGCAGGCGGCCATGTTTGGTGAGTGCTGCTTCGACATCGGTGACGTGAAGATCACCATGGGAACAGGCACCTTCATGAACATCAATACTGGGAGCAAGCCACACACGTCTGTGGCCGGTACGTAGCTATAGTCTTCATCACAGATAGGACAATGAGACAGACATTTCACCGGATGTATAAATGTGGCTGACAATTCTGCACATTTTCTCATCGAAGGAAACATTTGATCTCAATACAGTTTTCTGTTTCCAAAACTAGAATCTGTTACGACTAAGCTTTGTAGACTTTACCCTTTGCCAAAGTTTCAAAACATAGCGTTGTTTAGAAGGAGTGCAAGGGCGGATTGACTTATTACACACACGCACTTCACAGAGTAGGCGTTCCCTAACGGAATTATGCAAATACATGCTAGAACGCGCCAATAGACTCTCGCCAGCTCGTGCTTGGCTCTGCCCACCTCTTTGCTTGTTCTGCCCACTATGATTAATTTGATGCCATTGGAAACGACAGGCTGTGTTCTATCTTGGGTTAGTTATAAAAAAATCTTTGTTTTTCATCCTGACTCAGATATGGACATAGTCCCACATATAGGCTACATCTTGACTCAGATATGGACATAGTCCCACTTACAATCACCACATTATGAGAAGTATGCTTAACGGGGAAATCTCCATTGAAATAGCTTTTTAGCCGAGGGCTAGGCTTAATCTGTGACTAGGAAACTGTCCCTCAAAGTCAACATGACATCAAGACCTACACATACACTCATTCATAGACACAAGGTCTAAGTCAGGGCTGTAAGAAGCAGCCTTAAGAGCTACTGGCTGGGCAGGCTTTTGTTCCATCCCTGCTCTAACACACCTGATCAGCAGGTGATTAGTAGAATCGGCTAGGTTAGAGCAGGAATGGAACAAAAGCCAGCACAAGGTTGACCACCCCTGCTCTGTGTAAACTTTAAAGGACTAAAACGTTTGTATGACCATACAATTAGCCTATTTTATCGATAGGAGTGGTAAAAAAGGTGCTTGTGCATTGATAACCAAACCGAAGATGGAATTAACGATACGTAATAAAATAAAGACGGCACTTCTAAAAGCCTATTTCACACCTCAGCCTGATGAATCTATTTTGATTTTGGCACAAATGACAATTTGGCACTGACTTGCCCATGGATTGATGTTTCAGCATTGTCTCAATGAAGAGTTTGGGGTTCGACTGGACACATTTTAGATTTACATCATTTAGCAGACGCTCTTATCCAGAGCGACTTACAAATTACGTGCGACATGCATGCACAGTTACAAGCCTGCTAGAGTTAGCGACAGGCGGACGAGCAATATTCACCATCGTAGTACAGAGGAAGCCTGAGAAGGAATAGGAAGCTAACTGAAGCTAACTGAAGCTAGCTGAAGCTAACTGAAGCTAACTGAAGCTAGCTGAAGCTAACTGAAGCTAGCTAGCTAACTAGAAAACCCTGAGTAGATCTAACTTGCTTCGTAGTATACCATATATATATCTGATTCCCAATTTTGTCTTTGTTTTTCTTTTCACAAATATTTTTTGGGGGGATCCCCCCCCCTAGCTCAGAGAACACCAATAACAATGAGTAAGGCACTTTTACAAAACGTAAGCAGTTCAGACATTGTCCCAGATTGTCATGAAAATGTGTTGTGTTTGTGTAGGTCTCTACCCTGTTGTGGGCTGGAAGATCGGCCCAGAGGTGGTGTATCTAGCAGAGGGCAACGCAGCAGACACTGGCACAGCCATTAAATGGGCACAGGAACTGGGTGAGTCTGACCACTGGCGTGATACCTGTTTAGCAGTAATCCAGTAGAGTCCACATTTAAAAAGGAGCTCTGTAATTAGGATATTCTCACAAATAAGGGGAAAGAGACCAACCTTGGGTTTCGAAAATGTAATGAGGTTTAGTACACACGTACCAATTCATATATTGCGTCATTCATATGCTGATATTTGATAGAAGAATGGTATGAATACACAATGTGCATATAAGTAAGGTAGTATTTGGCCCATGTTTGGTGATGTCAGAGGAAGTGACATCAGTTGTGTCGTTCCAGAGCTGTTCTCAGACGTACGGGAGACAGATGCCATGGCCAGCAGTGTGGCCAACTCGGACGGAGTGTGCTTCGTTCCCTCATTTAGTGGCCTGCAGGTGAGTGTGTGTGTGTGTGCGTACAGGAATGATTTTAAGCTTGTGTGTTCGCTTGCTCGCACAGACACACACAAGTATACTGTGTATTGCTTTGACAGTGAGATTATTAATGACAGTTGGTGTGTCATCGGACTTTGAGTTTGTGGTTTTGTGGGTGTTAGTTATGGCATGCATTTGTTTCTGGGTGACCTTGGTAGTAGTGTCATCATTAATGTTAAGTGTCTACAGTGTTGTCATAACGTTGTCTTTTCCTTCTCTGCCTACGTTTGTGCAACCAGCTTTTGTAAGTTTTGTCTCTTCTTTAATTTCATGTGAGTTTACGCTCCCAAAACATGCTGGAATAATGTTGTGTTTGTGTATATGCCTTTGTTTACATGTGTGTGAAATTGTGTTTATATATGCTCTTGGGTTTTGTTATATATATATGTAGGGCCCTATAAAATCAGTTAATTTTTCTTTGCCTGATTCCGTTTAGTGTTTTCCCAAATTCAGTTTTCTCAGTTTTGTATTTACAGGCTTCCATTTTCCCCATTATTTTCAGGTTTTCGCTCTCAAAATCACACTTTAAAAAAAAATATAAAAACAACCAAATTGGATGTTCTAAGTCCACAACAATGCTTAAACGACATCAGGAGACCACTTGAGATCTGGGAAAAATCAGAGTAATTTAAATTTTTGTGTTTAGTTACCCTTTTAATGCAAGTGTGCAGCAGCCGGAGACCGTTGTTTGGTTAACGATGTTTCTGTAGCGCTCATGTGATTGCAGATTTTGCAAAACAAATGGCCACTGGATTGATGCAAATAATCATGATATTATTCTGCCAGGTGGGCATAGGCTACGTTGCAGTTAACATTTTACTGAGAAGGTTTTTGGGAAAGCCTTTCCATCTCTACCAGAAGAAGATTATCATTAGCATCATCGCTAACGGCTACATTAAGTGTAGACATATGCGCACCACATGCACAGACAGGGGAATTCATATGCCGTTTCCAGAAAGTTGCAGGGCAATACCAATCACTGATGCATTTTGTTGATGGCTTATGATTAACTTGGGCAAATGTAATAAATGTTCTAAGTTCAATACATTTTTGAATATTGTTGAATTCCATTTTTTATTGTCTGGATTCCGTGATTCCGTCCGCGCTCTCCACATGGCAGATTTTCTAGGGCCTTGCCTACGGTGTGTTAGTGTTATGTCCTCTCTGTGGACGTTTAACGTGTTTGTGTGTTCACCAGGCTCCTTTAAACGATCCCAAAGCATGCGCCTCTTTCATGGGCCTAAAACCATCCACAAACAAGAGTCACCTGGTCCGAGCCATTCTGGAGTCTGTTGCATTTAGGTTAGTGTGATTTTACTTGAGAGTGTGTGCGTGGATGTGTGTAGGAGATATTGGTCAAGTTATAAATATAAGTTCTGAATGTATCTCTAAAGATGAATTAATGTGCTATGAATCAGGGCATAGGGGACAAAATTGTATTTTGAAGAAGACCGGACTTATGTTAACTGTAAGACCAAAATAGTGATAAGTGATCTATCTGAAGGTACAGTGCATTCAGGAAGTATTCAGAGCCCTTGAATTTTGTACACATTTTGTTATGTTACAGCCTTATTTTAAAATTGATTAAATCTACAAACAATACCCCATAATGACAGTGAAAACAGGTTTTTAGAAATGTTTGCAAATGTATTGAAAAGGGAAAAAAAAGAAATACCTTATTTACATAAGTATTCAGACCCTTTGCTATGAGACTCGAAATTGAGCTCAGGTGCATCCTGTTTCCATTGATCAACCTTGAGATGTTTCTACAACTTGATTGGAGTCAACCTGTGGTAAATTCAATTAATTGGACATGATTTGGAATGCCACACATCTGTCTATATAAGGTTCCGCAGTTTATAGTGCATGTCAGAGCAAAAACCAAGCCATGAGGTCGAAGGAATTGTACTCCTGAGTGGCGCAGTGGTCTAAGGCAGTGCATCGCAGTGCTAACTGTGCCACTAGAGATCCTGGTTCGAATCCAGGCTCTGTCGCAGCCGGCCGCGACCGGGAGACTCATGGGCGGCGCACAATTGGCCCAGCGTCGTCCAGGGTAGGGGAGGGAATGGCCGGCAGGGATGTAGCTCAGTTGATAGAGCATGGCGTTTGCAACGCCAGGGTTGTGGGTTCGATTCCCACGGGGGGCCAGTATAAAAAAAAAAAAAAAAAAAAAAAAATGTATTCACTAACTGTAAGTCGCTCTGGATAAGAGCGTCTGCTAAATGACGTAAATGTAAATGTAAAATGTAATGAATTGTTCGTAGTGAAGAGGGCACGACAAAACCTATTCCCCCTAAGGAGACTGAAAATATTTGGCATGGGTCCTCAGATCCTCAAAAGGTTCTACAGCTGCACCATCGAGAGCATCCTGACTGGTTGCATCACTGCCTGGTATGGCAACTGCTCTGCCTCCGACCGCAAGACACTACAGATGGTAGTGCGTACGGCCCAGTTCATCACTGGGGCCAAGCTTCCTGCCATCCAGGACCTCTATACCAGGCGGTGTCAGAGGAAGGCCCTAAAAATTGTCAAAGACTCCAGCCACCCTAGTCATAGACTGTTCTCTCTGCTACCGCACGGTAAGCGGTACCGGAGCACCAAGTCTAGGTCCAAAAGGCTTCTAAACAGCTTCTACCCCCAAGCCTTAAGACTCCTGAACATCTAATCAAATGGCTACCCAGACTATTTGCATTGTCCCCCCTCTTTTACGCTGTTGCTACTCTCTGTTTATTATCTATGCATAGTCACTTTAATAACTCTACATACATGTACATATTACCTCAATTACCTCGACTAACCTGTACCCCCACATATTGACTCAGTACCGGTACCCCCTGTATATAGCCTCGCTATTGTTTTATATTGTATTTTTGTGTGATTTTTTGGGGGGTATTCTTTCTTAAAACCTGGCACCATCCCTACAGTGAAGCATGGTGGTGGTAGCATCATGCTGTGGGGATGTTTTTCAGCGGCAGAGACTGGGAGAAAACGCAGGAGTTGCTTCGGGACAAATCTCTGAATGTCCTTGAGTGGCCCAACCAGAGCCCGGACTTGAACCTGATCGAACATCTCGGGAGAGACCTGAAAATAGCTGTGCAGTGATGCTCCCCATCCAACCTGACAGAGCTTGAGAGGATCTGCAGAGAAGAATGGGAGAAACTCCCCAAATACAGGTGTGCCAAGGTTGTAGCGTCATACCCAAGAAGTCTCAAGGCTGTAATCGCTGCCAAAGGTGCTTCAACAAAGTACTGAGTAAAGGGGCTGAATACTTATGTAAATGTGATATTTTTTATTCTACTTTTTCATACATTTGAAAAAATTGCTAAAAACCTGTTTTTGCTTTGTCATTATGGGTTATTGTGTGTAGATTGATGAGGAGAGGAAAAAAACAATTTCATCCATTAGAATAAGGCTGTAACGTAACAAAATGTGGAAAAGGTCAAGGGCTCTGAATACTTTCTGAATACACTGATGAGCCTAATACCAGGTTGAGGAATTTGTACTGTTTTCTAGAGCTTGTTTTGTATCATAAACAAACAACAGGGACATGATATATTATCCCTTGTAACAACATACAAACATCACACAACATATAATTTTCAATAACCCCAACAATTTATCAGTCCTTCATGTTGGATGTGCTGTTAGGAAAGATTTTTAAGATGACATCTTGATCAGTAGGCCTTCTTTCTTAGAAAAAGTTGCAAAGAGGAAGTATGTGGATCTGGACTGTATTGCTCCGTCATGTACTGCAGCAAAAAAGCATTCCAGCTCATATGCATGGATTTCAGGCTGATTGGGGCAAGTGGGGTCAATCAGGGTTCCTGGTGGGAAGAGAGTTGATAAGCCGCTGTCCAGAAAAGGGGGTTGTACTGATGTGACGTGTTTGTGTGTGTGTGTGTGTGTGTTTCACCGCACTAGTGTGTTTGGGCATATACACTCAGTGGCCAGTTTATTAGGTACACCCGGTCGGACCCCTCTTTGCCTACAGTACAGCCTGAATTCTTCAGGGCATGGATTCTACAAGGTGTGGCGGTCAAACGTTGCTCAATTGGTATCAGCATGACGCAACAGGAACCGGGATTCGTCGGACCAGACAATGTTTTTTTCCACTCCTCAATTGTCTGGTGTTGGTGATCGCGTGCCCACTGGAGCCGCTTCTTCTTGTTTTTAGCTGATAGGAGTGGAACCCGGTGTGGTCGTCTGCTGCAATAGCCCATCTGTGACAAGGACCGATGACTTGTGCATTCCAGAGATGCCGTTCTGCACACCACTGTTGTACTGCGCCGTTATTTGCATGTTTGTGGCCCGCCTGTTAGATTCTCGGTAAACCCTAGACACTGTCATGCGTGAAAAGCCCAGGAGGCCAGCCGTTTCTGAGATAGTGGAACTGGCTAGCCTGGCACCAACGATCATACCACGCTCAATGTCACTTAGGTCACTCATTTTGCCCATTCTAATGTTTCAATCGAACAGTAACTGGATGCCTCGATGCCTGTCTGCCTTCGGCCACGTGACTCACTGTCTGTAGGAGCGATCCATTTTCTAATAAACTGGCCACTGCGTGTATATTTGAAGTTAGTATACACTCTGATGTTTGTGTGTGTGTGTGCCATTTCCTAGGAACAAGCAGCTCTATGAGACGATGCTCAGAGAAACACACATTCCCATCAGGAAGATCAGGTAGGCCTACAGTGGAGAACTCCTATACATTTCAGATCATCTCAAACCAATATCTGGATGGTGTCGTTATTCTATTGTGGTTTATTTATTTATTTATTGATGCTATCGTTGATTGATACTGATTTTACTGATCCGTACAGTGCCGTGAAAAAGTATTTGCCCCCTTTCTAATCTTCTCTATTTTTGCATATTTTTGATACTGAATGTTATCAGATCTTCAACCAAAACCTAATATTAGGTAGATAAAGGGAACCTGAGTGAACAAATAACACAAGAATTACATACTTATTTCATTTATTTCACAAGCAAAGTTATGCAACACCCAATGCCCCTGTGTGAAAAAGTAATTGCCCCCTTACACTCAATAACTGGTTGTGCCACCTTGAGCTGCAATGACTCAAATCAAATTGTATTTGTCACATGCGCCGAATACAACAGGTGTAGACCTTACAGTGAAATGCTTACTTACAAGCCCTTAATCAACAATGCAGTTTTAAGAAAAATAAGTGTTAAGTAAAAAAATTATAATAATAATAATTAAAGAGCAGCAGTAAAATAACAGTATCCAGGCTATATACAGGGGGTACCGATACAGAGTCAATGTGCGGGGGCACAGGTTAGTCGAGGTAATTGAGGTAATATGTACATGTAGGTAGAGTTAAAGTGACTATGCATACATATTAAACAGAGAGTAGCAGCTGCGTAAAAAGAGGGGGTGGGGGTGGGGGGGAACAATGCAAATAGTCCGGGTAGCCATTTGATTAGCTGTTCAGGAGTCTTATGGCTTGGGGGTAGAAGCTGTTAAGAAGCCTTTTGGACCTAGACTTGGCGCTCCGGTTACACTTGCCGTGCGGTAGCAGAGAGAACAGTCTATGACTAGGGTGGCTGGAGTCTTTGACAATTTTTAGGGCCTTCCTCTGACACCGCCTGGTATAGAGGTCCTGGATGGCAGGAAGCTTGGCCCCAGTGATGGACTGGGCCTCTATGCACTACCCTCTGTAGTGCCAAGGCGGTCGGAGGCCGAGCAGTTGCCATACCAGGCAGTGATGCAACCAGTCAGGATGCTCTCGATGGTGCAGCTGTATAACTTTTTGAGGATCTGAGGACCCATGCCAAATCTTTTCAGTCTCCTGAGGGGGAAAAGGCTTTGTCGTGCCCTCTTCACAACTGTCTTGGTGTGTTTGGACCATGATAGTTTGTTGGTGATGTGGACACCAAGGAACTTGAAGCTCTCAACCTGCTCCACTACAGCCCTGTCGATGAGAATGGAGGCATGCTCGGTCCTCTTCTTTTTCCTGTAGTCCACAATTATCTCCTTTGTCTTGATCACGTTATGGGAGAGGTTGTTATCCTGGCACCACACGGCCAGGTCTCTGACCTCCTCGTTGTCGGTGATCAGGCCTACCACTGTTGTGTCGTCGGCAAACTTAATGATGGTGTTGGAGTCTTGCTTTGCCATGCAGTCATGGGTGAACAGGGAGTACAGGAGGGGACTGAGCACGCACCCCTGAGGGGCCCCCGTGTTGAGGATCAGCGTGGCAGATGTGTTGTTGCCTACCCTAACCACCTGAGGGCGGTCCCGTCAGGAAGTCCAGGACTCAAAACAAACTCTTCCTGTAGTTGTTGATCAGATGTTGCTGTGGAGGAATTTTGGCCCACTCTTCCATGCAAAACTGCTTTAACGCAACGACATTTGTGGGTTTTCAAGCATGAACTGCATGTTTCAAGTCCTGCCACAACATCTCAATTGGGATTAGTTCTGGACTTTGACTAGGCCATTCCAAAACTTCAAATGTGTTGCTTTTTAGCCATTTTCACGTAGACTTGATTGTGTGTTTTGGATCATTGTCTTGCTGCATGACCCAGCTGCGGTTCAGCTTCAGCTCACAGACGGATGGCCTGACATTCTCCTGTAGAACTCTCTAATACAGAGCAGAATTCATGGTTCCTTCTATTAAGGCAAGTCATCCAGGTCCTGAGGCAGCAAAGCATCGCCAAACCATCAAACTACCACCACCATGCTTGACCGTTGGTATAAGATTCTTACTAAATGCAGTGTTTGGTTTTCACCAGGCATAATGGGACCCATGTTGTCCAGAAAGTTATACTTTTGACTCATCTGTCCATAGAGCATTCTTCCAAGAGTCTTGATGATCTTCCAGGTGCTTTTTGGCAAACCTTTTGGAAGAGATGGGTCCCATTATGTCTGGCGAAAACCAAACACACACCTCATGCTGAAACAGGAAAGGGCCTTCCCCAAACTGTTGCCACAAAGTTGGAAGCACAGAGTAGTCTAGAATGTCATTGTATGCTGTAGCGTTAAGATTTCCTTCACTGGAACTAAGGGGCCTAGCCCAAACCATGAAAAACAGCCCCAGACCATTATTCCTCCTCCACCAATCTTTGCCGTTGGCACTATGCAATGGGGCAGGTAGCGTTCTCTTGGCATCCGCTACTTCAGCACTCGGCGGTCCCGTTCTGTGAGCTTGTGTGGCCTACCACTTCACGGTTGAGCCGTTGTTGCTCCTAGACGTTTCCACTTCACAATAACAGCACTTACAGTTGACCGGGGCAGCTCTAGCAGGACGAACTGACTTGTTGGAAAGGTGGCATCCTATGACGGTGCCACGTTGAACGTCACTGAGCTCTTCAGTAAGGCCATTCTACTGCCAATGTTTGTCTATGGAGGTTGCATGGCTGTGCGCTCAATTTGATACACCTGTCAGCAATGGGTGTGGCTGAAATGGCCAAATCCACTAATTTGAAGGGGTGTCCACATACTTTTGTGTGTATATATAGCGTATCTATCTATCAATCATGAATCCTCAATGTTTTGTGTGTGTGACTATCATGGCAGGAGTGTGAGGTATCTGTATATTCTGAGGTGTGTCTGATATTATTTGTGTGTGCATGCAGGGCGGACGGTGGCGTTTGCACCAATGACTTTGTAATGCAGCTGACGGCGGACCTGTTTGGCAGGAAGGTCGCTCGGCCGACCCAACACGAAATGTCCTGCCTGGGGGCAGCCTTCGTCGCTGGACTGGGAGTTGGTACGACCCACACACACACACACATACATGCACATGCACACGCATGAGTCCTGCTGCTAATACAGTTAGGACTAGGTAGACAGAGGCTAACTGCTAATACAGTTAGGACTAGGTAGACAGAGGCTAACTGCTAATACAGTTAGGACTAGGTAGACAGAGGCTAACTGCTAATACAGTTAGGACTAGGTAGACAGAGGCTAACTGCTAATACAGTTAGGACTAGGTAGACAGAGGCTAACTGCTAATACAGTTAGGACTAGGTAGACAGAGGCTAACTGCTAATACAGTTAGGACTAGGTAGACAGAGGCTAACTGCTAATCCAGTTAGGACTAGGTAGACAGAGGCTTGCAGAATAAGGGGTGTGTTTGCATCAGCAGTCGTCTTTACAGACAAAGATACTGTAAATGTTGATAGCTCTCGAATAGATCAAATACATTGAACGGCTGGAGTCTAGAGGAGAGTTTGATCACAATAGAGGGAAATGTTCCCTCTCTCCTCCGTCTCTCGATCTAGTAAAGAGTAGCAGAAGGAAGAAAGAGAGCGAGAAGGGGAAGAAGAGAGAGAGAGAAGCTGAGCGAGAGGCTGAGGAGCTCGAGAGCGAGAGAGCGAGAGAGAGAGAGAGGAAGAGGAAGGAAGGCGCGAGACAGAGAAGGAGAAATAGGCCAGATGAAAGACGAGAGCTGAAGTCTCGAGGAGAAGAGAGAAGAGCGTACGAGAGAGATCGGAGGCTCGAGATAGAGAGAAAGAGAGCTGAGAGGAGAAGATATCGAGAGAGTAGAAAGAGCGATAGAGAGTAAGCCCCAGCGCTCAGACATCTCAGCTCTCTCTCTCCCATCGTCCTCTCTCCTCCTCCTCTCCTCTCTCTCCTCTCTCCTCCTCGTTGTGCAGGGCTTCTGGAAGAGTCAGGAGGAGCTAAAGAGACTCCAGAGCACTGACCGAGTCTTCCTACCCCGGAATGGGTATGGATTGGGTGATGGGGGCACGGAGGGCGAGTATACACCCATTCTGCAGAGCTGGGAACGGGCGCTGAAACGCTCTATGAACTGGTATGGCAAGCCCTGAGGCTCGTAGGACAGAGAGACGGACGTAGGCTTACAGTTGGGCGGACGCACAGACGGGACCTCTGGTGCTGCTGACCAAAGCCCTAAGATTGCCTCTTTGATGTCTGACCTCTCAATAGTATCTCGTTCTTTCTGTCCCGGGGGTTGGACAGATGGGCAAATAAAGTTTTTTTCTGATCGTATTAATATCGAAGGAAATCTGACATGACTGGATCTGTAAGATGTAGTAGAATCCAACTGTGTTATATTAGTGACTACATCAAGGAAGGAAGGAAGATGCATTTGAAAAGTATTGGAACTGGGTTTTAGGACTGAGTGGTGGAACTCTAATGCTGCTGAACCTTACGACCTTTGACCTTGAGCCACTGACCATGCACTCAAGATTATTTTGACCCCCAATACAACCTTACCTAACTCATTACAGCACACGAGGAAAACGTTTTTATGAACGTTTCACAACGGAAAACTAAACTGTGTGTTTCTTATAGAAAGTCCCTCCCTGTTGCAGTGTTTTCATTTTGTCTGATGACCACCACCCAGGTGTGCCAGTACTGGAATAGATCAAATATATAGACTGTCTGGAGATGGGTTACTAGAGGAAACAGAACCAAACCATATGACCCCTGCTGGTTACTATCCAGCCATGCTAGAACCAATGGATTTCCATTGAGACCAATACTCTGTGGATTTCCATTGAGACCAATACTCTGTGTATTTCCATTGAGACCAGTACTCGCTGTATTTCCATTGAGACCAATACTCTGTGTATTTCCATTGAGACCAATACTCCGTGAATTTCCATTGAGACCAATACTCTGTGTATTTCCATTGAGACCAATACTCTGTGGATTTCCATTGAGACCAATACTCTGTGGATTTCCATTGAGACCAATACTCAGTCGATTTCCATTGAGACCAATACTCTGTGGATTTCCATTGAGACCAATACTCTGTGGATTTCCATTGAGACCAATACTCTGTGGATTTCCATTGAGACCAATACTCTGTGGATTTCCATTGAGACCAATACTCAGTGTATTTCCATTGAGACCAATACTCTGTGGCTTTCCATTGAGACCAATACTCTGTGGATTTCCATTGAGACCAATACTCTGTGGATTTCCATTGAGACCAATACTCAGTGTATTTCCATTGAGACCAATACTCTGTGTATTTCCATTGAGACCAATACTCAGTGTATTTCCATTGCTCAGGCTTAGTTTCTTCTCTGCAGTGAGTCTGGATCTGAGTACCTCCCTGACAATTTCTAGAACGCAAACACATTCATAACCGTTCTGTTCCTGAATAAAAACGTACTAGGACCTAAAAGCAACATAGAGAGAAATAACATATTGGAAGTCATCTTAAGGCATTATAAAAAGGCATTATAAAGGCTCATGCATACTTATATGTTATAAAGCATTATACTGCAGGCTTTATGTAAAGCATTACACAATCTTCTAATCAGTCAGTGTTGGTAGCCAGTGTCCGTGCCTCATCTGGCAATCATTGCAGTGCCCCCCGTTGTCCAGAGGAGGGAGCTAGTCACTGCTTTTCAACAGGGTTCTGGAACACAATGGACAATTCTAGATATAGAATTCATCTACTGTACACAGGATTGGCTCTCAAAAGGCTTTCTCTTCTTGTCCACTCTCCTCTGTCTCTGCACTAATATGAGGCTCGTGTTCATTAGGGCATGCAGTGGAAAACATTCTAGAATGTTTTGAAACAGAAAAAGGAGATCAGTGTTTCTTTATTAATCCCCCAGAGGAGACATTTGATTGCACCAGCCAATACATACATGGACAAGGCCATGTAGTCCCGCACTGTTTCTTCTTCTTCCATTTGATGACTAATGAACGAAACGACCATGGCTAGATGAAAGCAATGTATGGCGGCAGGCCACTGGGGTACTTGTTTTCACTAATCCAGAACTATTTCAGAGCAGCGTAGTGAAGGAAAGGAGACTATAGGATTTGATAGTATTACATATTATAATACTTTTGAGAATCAACCCTCATCTGCCTGGTTGCTTGAATCGGAAATGTATTTTTATAGTTGTTTTAATGTTCTTACAGACACAGTGATTATTGTGCTGCTTAATTGTGGCCCTTGGGGGCCACCATACCATAACTTACCATTGGATATTTGTGAAATTTGTATTAATTTATTTTGTATTGCTATCCATCGCGCTCTCTTCAGTTCTGTAGCCTGCCTGCCTTTTTTCCAAAGAACATAAAATGCAGGAGATTATATTTTAACCAATAGGATGCTGATGTTTTAACACTAGAACAAGACAATTTGACACCCTACTCTGTATGTATAACTGTTGTTAAAACTGTTGCCAAGTACTTACTTGTAAGCACGATAAAAGCTAAATTAGCTTGATTTGTCTATACATTGTTAGCCATTTGTCTGTGGATAAAATTGAGAAAATAGCATTGTGTAATAACGGTTACACGGTTAATAATAACATTAAAAACTTGAATGATCTAAATGATTGTACTTTGTGGTCTGTTAGTAGCCTGTCCTGATTCCCTGTCTGTTTCTGCTTTAACTAACTTTCTTGTTTATGTCCTGCTAAACGTTGGCGTATTGGCATGGAACACTTTGAAAATGCACTTTCCAGAGGAGACTCAGCCCCTAAAAACATGGGAAATGCAGTTCCTACTGGCTTAGAGCAGAGGTTTATGGGAAAAGCAGTTTTCCACTGACATTCACCTGCACCCAGAGACTTGTGGGAAATAGAGGCCTCAGATGGCGTTTAATTTTTACATTTACGTCATTTAGCAGACGCTCTTATCCAGAGCGACTTACAGTTAGTGAGTGCATACATTTTTTTCATACTGGACCCCCGTGGGAAACGAACCTACAACCCTGGCGTTGCAAGCGCCATGCTCTACCAACTGAGCTACTCGGGGACTAATGATTGGCTCTCGTCGACAACAGTGATGCTGTCACTGTTGCCATGGCAATGGACGGTTGAATTGAGAACAGATCAACTGTATTCTTGCTCATTGTGCTGGTATGAGAGAGCGAGAGGAAACTAATTGGGCACACAGAGAAGGGCTCTGCAGACAATGAGAGGATTGTGATTGTGTGATATCTCTCTCTCACACACACACACACACACACACACACACACACACACACACACACACAGTTCCTGTGGGCTTGGCAGTGGGCTAATGTGACAGGGTGAATGTGTTAGAGTGAGGTAGAGATAGAACTGGGCCATGAATCATTGCACTTTGTTCTCACTAATCACACTATGGCAAAACATATTTACTCTGTGTGCCAGAGAGTCAATTTGCTTGTGTGTGTGTGTGTGTGTGTGTGTGTGTGTGTGTGTGTGTGTGTGTGTGTGCTTGAATAATAAATATTAGGTGGTTGCTTATATTTGTCCTATTTCACACATATACATTAACACACTTATGATTTGGAAATGTGTTTTCTGCATATCCCAACTACCCCTTAGAATGAGGTAATGGCCAGCCATTATCAATGGCAACCCTGTAGCAATTAGGATTAAGTGCCTTGCTCAAGGGCATATCAACACATTTGTCGGCTCTGGGATTCAAACTAGCAACCTTTCGGTTACTGGCCCAATGCTTTAATCACTAGGCTACCTGCCTTGTGTGCATGCATGCCAGTGTGTTTCTAACTGACCTAAGTGTGTCTGTCATTTTCTTAGAAATGATTGTGTGTGCACGTGAGTGTGTGTGTATTGTATAGGATGGTTATAGTATGAACGCGTTCCGGTGGGACCGGCATTGCAACACATTCATTCTGACAGGGGGGAACTGAATTCATTCTGACAGCAGGAACTGAATGCATAGCAACCTCCACTCCAGACCCTCCCCCGGCCCTCTCTCTCGCCACAGAACACGAAATCAATGACCGTTATATAACTCTCCATCTCGCTCTCCCTCTCTCTTTCTCTCTCTCTCACATACACACACACACACACACACACTGTGATCTGCCATTGTGCATCAATGCATGCGGGTTGAGAGGTTGGAGTGTAGCGAGGTTGGAGTGTTGCGAGGTTGGAGTGTAGCGAGGTTGGAGTGTTGCGAGGTTGGAGTGTTGCGAGTGTGGCCTTGGTGGTAATTATTTTCTATATCTGTTCTTCACTCTCCCTTGGGTCCTACTGTGATAGTATTCTGTGCTATCTTTGTCTCTCTCTCTCCCCCTCGCTCTTACTCAGCCTGCTTGCATTGCATTTCAGTTATGCTGTATTTCCATGGCAACGGCGATTGTTAAAAGCACCAAATATGTATGTATGTAGTCCACAATAGCATAGTATGTAGTCCGCAATAGCATAGTATGTAGTCCACAATAGCATTTGGCCTATAATGCGTTATTGTACAGTCACAATATGGGTGAAATGCTTCAGTTCAACCTGACCACATCCTAAAACCTGGTAACCAATAATATATGGAATCTGTAGGGATTTTATGATTGTGCCCAATGGTTCACAAAGCCAATTAAGTTTTAGGAATAGTTCTCGCTAGTTTGAGTATGGAAAATAATAAATTAAATGTATGCACTCACTAACTTTAAGTCCCTCTGGATAAGAGCATCTGCTAAATGACTGAAATGTAAAAATGGAAATGTAGTTTGATACCCCAGGCCTACATCTGGCCCAAATGTCCTAGCCTTACATGGGCCACTGCAACTGTGTGTGTGTGTGTGTGTGTGTGTGTGTGTGTGTGTGTGTGTGTGTGTGTGTGTGTGTGTGACTGGCAACCATAAGGTGTTTGTTTGGTTCACTTGCCCCGATATTGCAGTGAGACACACATTCCTTCCAGCAGTATTTCATTAAGGTTACCCTCTGCAGTTATCATCCGGTTTTTCAAATCCGTTTATTTTAAAATGAAATGGAAGTAGGTCACAACCATTGTGGTGTTAGGTGGTCCTCCCCACACACACACACACACACACACACACACACCAGATAGCAGATTGATCCCCTATGTGTTGCTCATTCTCAACACACCACACACATTTTTACCTGTAGCCAACTGAATACATGTTCAGGTGTGCTAGGCTACTTCAACCACAGACAGGATCATATGAATAGCATATTTACTGTATAGGAAGCCTACATATCATCATCTGTAGATATTTCCAGTTTTCGTCTTATTTGTTAGGTACACTGTTCTCTCATTTTCTCAGGCAATGATATCTGGATAAATACCGCGTTATATTATAGCGTTTTCGTTAGTGTCTACAAATGTAGTCTACACTGACCAAGCGGCTCTTCTATCGTGGCTCGTACCATTGAGTAGCGGAGCGAGGCTGCCGCTAGTGGCAGAAAACGTCACAGATTATTCGCATGTTTTTTTTAAACAGAGCAATCTTGCCTCACTCTGCGGTCGACTCCATACCAACCACTGATCCAATCACATACCCCTTACATCCCTGATTTCGCTTCATTCTATCGCCCGCTGTTCCTCGTATTTTTAAGGAAAAATACATCCACAAATTTTCACCATGGCAAGCAACGAAGACAAACCGACGGTGAAAGAGGATGAGAATGCTGGAAGCTGGAAAGATTCCATCTTCAACCCAAGGACCGGGGAGTTTTGTGGGCGCACAGCGAAGAGCTGGGGTAAGAAAACCTGGACCGGGTCTGGGGGATAGCCCACTGTCGAAAACCACATTTGTATTATTTATCATATTGCAAGCTATTCCGATTTTGATGTGCATATTGTCACATATAGCCTAATATCGGATAGTAATATAGTATTATATCCACCCATTCATTCGTGGTCTCCATCATCACAATCTATTTCTGTCTAGTTGGTTTTGTGTGTGTGTGTTTGTGTGTATGTGTGTTCTTGCGTGCATGTGTGTTACAGCTTGTCCATTTCAGCACTGATTAGCTCAAGACAGATAAATGACACTAGCCCACCTGTATGAATAATAATTACAGACCAATACTCAGTGTAATTCCATTGAGACCACAAATGGACATATAGGCTCCAACTGAAATATGAGATACAAGATGGGCTTAACTTTGTAAAAAAAAAAAAAAAAAAAATGCCTAATTGTAATGATAAACTATAAGGAAATTATATTAATTCTTAAGATCATAAATTAAATTAATGGTCCCTTCTCAGAACAATGTTATCAGAAATCAGCTATATCTGCTCTGTAGTGTAGTGTACATCAGTGTAGTGTGCGCGTGTGTGTGTGTGCGTGTGTGTGTGCCTGTGCAGTTGTGTATGTGCATGTGAATCCTCTGGAGCAGACCAGTCCATGACTATCTAACAGTATGATTATATGAAGACCTTCACTTGTGTTACAGATGAGACACACTACCGACACACAAAGAGCATATGGAAATAAAATGTAGATTTCTCATTTATGGAATGTATATCCTCAATTTATAGCAGTAGTCTATGGTGTCTTTGAAGATGGTGAGCTGAGCTTGCTCTATCAATGGTAGCTAGCAGCTAGTATTGGCCCTGTGCAGTGCTGTGGGATTCTCCTCTCTCACTGTCAGAACTCCTCCTCCCACTGCTACGGATGCATGGCCGCCCACATTAGCATACTTGTCAAGGTCAAATGGGTTTCCCTGCAGGTGCATGATGGGAATGTATCGGAGGAGAGTAGGGAGACTTGACTGTCTGTAGGCTGTAGGTGTAGTGTGGTGAACAACCTGACTGTCTGTAGGCTGTAGGTCTAGTGTGGTGAACAACCTGACTGTCTGTAGGCTGTAGGTCTAGTGTGGTGAACAACCTGACTGTCTGTAGGCTGTAGGTCTAGTGTGGTGAACAACCTGACTGTCTGTAGGCTGTAGGTCTAGTGTGGTGAACAACTTGACTGTCTGTAGGCTGTAGGTCTAGTGTGGTGAACAACCTGACTGTCTGTAGGCTGTAGGTCTAGTGTGGTGAACAACCTGACTGTCTGTAGGCTGTAGGTCTAGTGTGGGTGAACAACCTGACTGTCTGTAGGCTGTAGGTCTAGTGTGGGTGAACAACTTGACTGTCTGTAGGCTGTAGGTCTAGTGTGGGTGAACAACCTGACTGTCTGTAGGCTGTAGGTCTAGTGTGGTGAACAACCTGACTGTCTGTAGGCTGTAGGTCTAGTGTGGTGAACAACCTGACTGTCTGTAGGCTGTAGGTCTAGTGTGGTGAACAACCTGACTGTCTGTAGGCTGTAGGTCTAGTGTGGTGAACAGCCTGACTGTCTGTAGGCTGTAGGTCTAGTGTGGTGAACAACCTGACTCTCTGTATTAATAAGGATGAATGAAGTAAAACACATTAATAAGGATGAATTATATAAAATACATTAATAAAATACATTTGTCTCTCTCTCTCCCCAACCCTCCCTTTGTCTCTCTCTCTCTCTCTCTCTCTCTCTCTCTCTCTCTCTCTCTCTCTCTCTCTCTCTCTCTCTCTCTCTCTCTCTCTCTCTCCTCCTCTCTCTCCTCTCTCCTCTCTCTCTCTCTCTCTCTCTCCAGGCCTCATCCTCCTGTTCTACCTGGTGTTCTATGCGTTCCTGGCTGGGATGTTTGTCCTCACCATTTGGGTCATGCTGCTGACGCTAGACGACTATGTGCCAAAGTACCGCGACCGGGTGCCACACCCAGGTAAGTAGCACCACAGGGAGATTATTTATTCAATCAACCAACCAATAAATCTAATAACCAATCAACTAACTAACCAACCAACCATTCATTAAATTAATCTTATCTCCCTCATTAACCTTAAGCATCAGTTGTCAGCGCAGCTTACCGATCACTGTACCTGTACACAGCCCATCTGTAATTAGCCCATCCAAGTACCTCATCCCCATATTGTTATTTACATTGTTATTTATTTTGCTCATTTGCACCCCAGTATCTCTATTTGCACATCTTCTGCACATCTATCACTCCAGTGTTAATACTAAATTGTAATTATTTTGCACTATGGCCTATTTATTGCCTTACCTCCATAACTTACTACATTTGCACACACTGTATATAGATTTTCTATTGTGTTATTGACTGTACGTTTTTGTTTATTCCATATGTAACTCGTTGTTGTTGTTTTTATCGCACTGCTTTGCTTTATCTTGGCCAGGTCACAGTTGTAAATGAGAACTTGTTCTCAACTGGCTTACCTGGTTAAATAAAGGTTAAATAAAATAAAAAAATAATAATAATCAGATTGGAAGATTATTGATTATTGGGAGATTATTAGAGCACAGGGTTGTTCTGAGGGAAAACGAATATCCAAGAAGTGCTGTATTTTGCAGATTTTGAGCACAAAATCTTTCGGTTCAGGACAGGTAGTCAGCTTTTTTCAAACCAGAGAATCCTCTGGACTACTATTGGTCAGTATTGCCCAGTAGGTACTATATGGCTGCTGTTGAAAGGATTTCTGGTCTGAACGGTAATGCTAATGGTAATGGCCAGACTCTTTATATACTGTTTGTTTGGCAACACTTTATTTAAAGGCTACCTATATAAGGATGAATGTGGTATGTACGGGTTATGAATGGGTTATGTACGGGTTATGAATGGGTTATGTATGGGTCATGAATGTGGTATGGATTATGAATATGTTATGTACAGGTTATGAATGGGTTATGAATGTGTTATGTATGGGTTATGAATGGGTTATGTATGGGTTATGAATGTGGTATGTATGGGTTATGAATGTGGTATGTATGGGTTATGAATGTGGTATGTGTGGGTTATGAATGAGTTATGAAGCCCTTATGTAGGTATATTTCAAATGAAGTGTTACTGTATGTGTCTGAGTTTTACCACACAACACTGGTGACCCTGATTTCTTTGTTAGTGGATTTAATTTTAAAAAATGTAATATGCCATTTAGCAGATGCTTTTATCCAAAGCGACTTACAGTCATGTGTGCATACATTTTTGTGTATGGGTGGTCCCGGGGATCGAACCCACTACCTTGGCGTTACAAGCGCCGTGCTCTACCAGCTGAGCTACAGAGGTTTGAACTATGTTGTACCATGTCGTTTTGATGATGTTAGTGGATTGAACTATGTTTTACCATGTAGTTTTGATGATGTTAGTGGATTGAACTATGTTTTACCATGTAGTTTTGATGATGTTAGTGGATTGAACTATGTTTTACCATGTCGTTTTGATGATGTTAGTGGATTGAACTATGTTTTACCATGTCGTTTTGATGATGTTAGTGGATTGAACTATGTTTTACCATGTAGTTTTGATGACCCTGAAGGAAGTTGTGATCTCATACTGTACTCTCTGTCCCTTAGGGTTGGTCATCCGGCCAAAGCAGTTGGACATGCTGTTTAACAGATCACAGCGTCTCCAGTACGACCCATATGTCCAGACCTTAGAGTCTTTCCTGCAACGTGAGTATTAGTATTTTTATCTTGTCTCCTTGCAAAATCTGTGCCCCTTCTCTCTCACTGTCTCTCTCTCTCTCTCACACCCTCTCTCTCTCTTTCTCTCTCTCTCACTCACTCTCTCTCTCCCTCTCCCTCTCCCACTCTCTCTCTCTCTCTCTCTCTCCCTCTCTCTCTCTCTCTCTCTCCCTCTCTCTCTCTCTCTCTCTAACTCACCTTCTTTCTCTCTCTCTCTAAATGTCCTTTTCAATAAGATATTTAAATGTTCAATAAGAGATACAGAGATACAGTGTTGCCATATAGTTCAGTGACAATTCAATCAAAGCATAGGGGGATGGTTAAAACTAGCATGAAATGATACGTTAACAATTACACACACAAATATCAGCCTGAGGTGAGTTTATCTTGTAGCCAATGTCTTATTTATCTCAACAACCCAGCTTCAATAGAGGAACAAACATCAAAATGTTTTAACAGTCAATCATCTGTGCATGAACTGGGTCGTTACCACGGTAACTACAGTGGGGAGAACAAGTTTTTGATACACTGCCGATTTTGCAGGTTTTCCTACTTACAAAGCATGTAGAGGTCTGTAATTTTTATCATAGGTACACTTCAACTGTGAGAGACGGAATCCAGAAAATCACATTGTATGATTTTTAAGTAATTCATTTGCATTTTATTGCATGACATAAGTATTTGATACATCAGAAAAGCAGAACTTAATATTTGGTACAGAAACCTTTGTTTGCAATTACAGAGATCATACGTTTCCTGTAGGTCTTGACCAGGTTTGCACACACTGCAGCAGGGATTTTGGCCCACTCCTCCATACAGACCTTCTCCAGATCCTTCAGGTTTCGGGGCTGTCGCTGGGCAATACAGACTTTCAGCTCACTCCAAAGATTTTCTATTGGGTTCAGGTCTGGAGACTGGCTAGGCCACTCCAGGACCTTGAGATGCTTCTTACGAAGCCACTCCTTAGTTGCCCTGGCTGTGTGTTTCGGGTCGTTGTCATGCTGGAAGACCCAGCCACGACCCAACTTCAATGCTCTTACTGAGGGAAGGAGGTAGTTGGCCAAGATCTCGCGATACATGGCCCCATCCATCCTCCCCTCAATACGGTGCAGTCGTCCTGTCCCCTTTGCAGAAAAGCATCCCCAAAGAATGATGTTTCCACCTCCATGCTTCACGGTTGGGATGGTGTTCTTGGGGTTGTACTCATCCTTCTTCTTCCTCCAAACACGGCGAGTGGAGTTTAGACCAAAAAGCTCAATTTTTATCTCATCAGACCACATGACCTTCTCCCATTCCTCCTCTGGATCATCCAGATGGTCATTGGCAAACTTCAGACGGGCCTGGACATGCGCTGGCTTGAGCAGGGGGACCTTGAGTGCGCTGCAGGATTTTAATCCATGACGGCGTAGTGTGTTACTAATGGTTTTCTTTGAGACTGTGGTCCCAGCTCTCTTCAGGTCATTGACCAGGTCCTGCCGTGTAGTTCTGGGCTGATCCCTCACCTTCCTCATGATCATTGATGCCCCACGAGGTGAGATCTTGCATGGAGCCCCAGACTGAGGGTGATTGACCGTCATCTTGAACTTCTTCCATTTTCTAATAATTGCGCCAACAGTTGTTGCCTTCTCACCAAGCTGCTTGCCTATTGTCCTGTAGCCCATCCCAGCCTTGTGCAGGTCTACAATTTTATCCCTGATGTCCTTACACAGCTCTCTGGTCTTGGCCATTGTGGAGAGGTTGGAGTCTGTTTGATTGAGTGTGTGGACAGGTGTCTTTTATACAGGTAACGAGTTCAAACAGGTGCAGTTAATACAGGTAATGAGTGGAGAACAGGAGGGCTTCTTAAAGAAAAACTAACAGGTCTGTGAGAGCCGGAATTCTTACTGGTTGGTAGGTGATCAAATACTTATGTCATGCAATAAAATGCAAATTAATTACTTAAAAATCATACAATGTGATTTTCTGGATTTTTGTTTTAGATTCCGTCTCTCACAGTTGAAGTGTACATATGATAAAAAATTACAGACCTCTACATGCTTTGTAAGTAGGAAAACCTGCAAAATCGGCAGTGTATCAAATACTTGTTCTCCCCACTGTAGCTCACCTCTGATGGTTCCGTCTTGTCATACAAATCTTTCGCTATTGTCTTTTGTCAGAGTACAACGACACGGAGCAGGAGAGGAACGAGGCATGCCTGGCGGGGGACTACTTTGAGCAGGAGGGCAAGGTGGGCGAGCAGAGGAAGGCGTGTCAGTTCAAGAGGAGTTCTCTGAGCCGCTGCTCCGGCCTGTCCGACTCCACCTTCGGTTACGCTGAGGGGAGACCATGTGTCCTCCTCAAAATGAATAGGGTACCTCCTCCTTTTCCCTCTTGTCTTTGAATACATGGTTGTGTCCTAATTATCTGCCTTTCCGAAGTGTGTACTGTACTTGCACACTGTCATGGATTAAAGCATTGGTTGGATGGAGTTTCTACCATTGTTCAATCCATGACGGGGAGTGTGCAAGGGCACATTTAGGGAAAATGGTAGAGAATTGGGACGAAGCCAAGACTCTTTCTTTGGATGCATGTAATTGACCTCAATACAGTTGGGTCCTAATGAGGTGCACATTGGATAAGTGCAGACCACAGGAGGTTGGTGGCACCTTAATTGGGGAGGACGGGCTCGTGGTAATGGCTGGAGTGGAATCAGTGGAATGGCATCAAATACATTCCATTCGTTCTGTTCCAGCCATTATTATGGGCCATCCTCCCCTCAGCAGCCTCCACTGGTGCAGACCGAATTAAATTCAGGGCAGTTCACCAGTCCCAATTCCAAATGCATTGTTCAGTGGACGCATTCACAAGAGCCTCGAGCTATTGCATGTATCAGTAGATGACATTAGCCCCATAGTGGATTTCTCTCCTTCTTCTCAATCTAGATCTTCCATTTGCCTCTCTTTGTTACCATTCTCTATTAGTGTGTTTTGCTGTCCTTCTCTATCATTGTCTGTGTTTCGATATCATTGGATTACTCAGAGTAGACCACATTGATAATAATGGTGTTAACGAGACGATTGTCTGATTGCGGCTCTCTGATTTGGTTAATTGGTGTTCCATTCACAGATCATTGGGCTGAAGCCACGTGGAGATCCCTATGTCAACTGCACGGCAAAGGTAAACGTCGTCATGATTTCAGTATGTGTGCTTTTGTCTCTGTGTGTTTGAAGATAGTAAAATACTCTGGTTACATTTTATATCGTTTTTAGTTATTTATTGTTTATCTTGATATTTGTGTGTTCTTTTTTCCTGATTTGGTTTGGTTGTTGTTTTTCTGCATGCTTCCAGTTGAAGCTTTAGGGTAAGCTTAGCGATGTGTAAGTGTCTAACTTTATTTTCTAAGCTATTACATTGTGGAAATGACTTACAGGGTTGTTTTGTTATCTCTCTCTCTCCCCACCACCTTGTTATGTTCTTGATTCCCAGTCTCTTTTCCATCTTTTGGTCCAGTTTGATGCAGTACAGCAATGTTATTATAGGAAACGTATAGAACCTTTCAGTGTTATAATCAAACCAGTGTTAATATTATAAGAACTGGCCATTGAGTCTGACCTCTCATAGACCCCAGAAAGAGCAACTGTTGCTTAATGTAACAGCTAATGGCGTTAGAGTACAGTGTATGCAACATAAGGAATATTTCCAATTCTTAGATAATATTTTATTCTTACATACTCATATGGACTTGTGTAGATCTGAAAAGATTGGATAGGTGTGAGCAATATGTAAAAAATGCCACATAATAGAGGGCAAAGTGGACCATAGTACCTACTATATATAGTATCAGTCAAGAGTTTGGACATAACCTACTCATTCAAGGGTTTTTCTTTATTTTTACTATTTTCTACATTGTAGAATAATAGTGAAAACATCAAAACTATGAAATAACACATATGCAATCATGTAGTAACCCAAAAAGTATTAAACAAATCAAAGTATATTTTAGACTTTAGATTCTTCAAAGTAGCCACCATTTGCCTTGAAGACAGCTTTGCACACTCTTGGCATTCTTTCAACCAGCTTCATGAGGAATGCTTTTCCAACAGTTTTGAAGGATTTCCCACATATGCTGAGCACTTGTTGGCTGCATTTTCTTCACTCTGCGGTCCAACTCATCCCACACCATCATACCTCCTCCTCCATGCTTCACGGTGGGAACCACACATGCGGAGATCATCTGTTCACCTGAGAGAATGCCAAGAGTGTGCAAAGCTGTCATCAAGGCAAAGGGTGGCTACTTTGAAGAATCTCAAATATAAAATATATTTTGATTTGTTTAACACTTTTTTTTGGTTACTACATGATTCCATATGTGTTATTTCATAGTTTTGATGTCTTCACTATTATTCTACAATGGTGAAAATAGTAAAAATAAAAAATTAACCTGGAATGAGTAGGTGTGTCCAAACTTTTGACTGGTACTGTATACTTATCCAACCCTATTACCATAATACCTACTGTATATACATATCAGAGGAGACCGTCTTCCTAAAGCTCCTCACACCAGCCTCCTCTGATACCTATGGAGCCCTTTCAGATCTACATAAAGTCCCAAGGCTGACGCCTGACACCTGACACCTGACGCCTGACGCCTGACGGTCCATTTGGGATAGGATAGACTTATTCTTCCTCTTCTAGCGTTCTCTTGGGTTTGACTATTATTGCTTCTGTTCCTTCTCCTCCTCTTCAGAGAGACACCCCCGTACAGATGCAGTACTTCCCCAGTGAGGGGCGCTTCGATAAAATGTATTTCCCTTACTACGGCAACAAACTTCATGTAAGTTTGGGGTCAAAGGTCAATATTTGTCAATTTCTGATGTCTTGTCGTACTGGTTGGTTGGCGCTTGATGGGAAAGCATTACTGTACAATGATGCAAGAATTTGGAAGACTGTTGGATGGACGTATGAGATATTCAACAGTCCATGTTGGTGAGATATTCAACAGGCCGTGTTGGTGAGATATTCAACAGGCCATGTTGGTGAGATATTCAACAGGCCGTGTTGGTGAGATATTCAACAGGCCGTGTTGGTGAGATATTCAACAGGCCATGTTGGTGAGATATTCAACAGGCCATGTTGGTGAGATATTCAACAGTCCATGTTGGTGAGATATTCAACAGGCCGTGTTGGTGAGATATTCAACAGGCCGTGTTGGTGAGATATTCAACAGGCCATGTTGGTGAGATATTCAACAGGCCATGTTGGTGAGATATTCAACAGGCCATGTTGGTGAGATATTCAACAGGCCATGTTGGTGAGATATTCAACAGGCCATGTTGGTCAGTGATCTTATTTTTTGCTTTGTCCTTCTTTCCTACCCTCTTTGTCTCTCTCTCTCCCCAACCCTCCCTTTGTCTCATTCTCTCTCTCCTCTCTCTCGCTCTCTCCTCTCTCTCTCTCTCTCTCCTCCCAACCCTCCCTCCCCCCTCTCCTTTTTCCGTCCTCTCTCCTCCTCTCTCATTTTCCTCCCTCTCTCTTTGCTTCTCTCCTCCTCTCTCCTTTGTCTCTCCTCTCCCTTCTCTCGCTCTCTCTCTCTCTCTCTCTCTCTCTCCTCTCTCTCTCTATCTCTCTCTCCCCACCCCCTCCCTTTTCTCTCCACTCCTCTTTCCCTCTCTCTTTCTCTCTCTCTTTCTCTCTCCTCTCTCTCCCCCCCCTCTCTTCTCTCTTCTCCCCCTCTCTCTCCTCCCCCCACCTCTCTTCTCCCCCTCTCCCCCACCTCTTCTCCCGCTCCCCCCCCCCCACCTCTCTCTCCCCCTCTACCTCTGTCCCCCCTCCCCCCCCCCCCACCTCTCTTCTCCCCCTCTCCCCCCCCCACCTCTCTTCTCCCCTCTACCCCCCCCCCCTCTCTCTCCCCCTCTACCCCCCCCCACCTTTTCTTCTCCCCCTCAAACCCCCCCCCCCCCACCTCTTTTCCCCTCCCCCTCTACTCCCTTCACCCCCCCCCACCTCTCTTCTCCCCCTCTACCCCTCTGTCAAACCCCCCCACCTCTCTTCTCCCCTCTACTCCTGTCTCCCCCCCCCCCACCTCTCTTCCCCCTACCCCCCCCACCTCTCTTCCCCCTCTAACCCCCCCCCACCTCCTCTTCTCCCCTCTACTCTCTGTCTACCCCCCCACCTTCTTCTTCTCCCCCCAAACCCCCCCACCTCTCTTCTCCCCCCTCAAACCCCCCCCACCTCTCTTCTCCCCCTCTATCCCCCCCCTCTCTTCTCCCCCTCCTCCCCCTCCCCCCACCTCTCTTCTCCCCCTCTCTCTCTGTCTACCCCCCACCTCTTCTTCTCCCCCCCCTACCCCCCCCCCCACCTCTCTTTTTCCCCCTCTACCCCTCTGTCTACCCCCCCCCCACCTTCTTCTCCTCCCTCAACCCTCTAAACCCCCCCACCTCTCTTCTCCCCCCCCCCCCCCCCACCTCTCTTCTCCCCCCTCTACTCTCTGTCTACCCCCTAACCCCCCCCCCCACATCTCTTCTCCCCCTCTACTCTCTGTCTACCCCCCCACCTCTCTTCTCCCCCCCTCTACCCCCCACCTCTCTTCTCCCCCTCTACACCCCCCCACCCTCTCTCTCTCCCCCCCCTCCCACCCTCCTTCTCCCCCTCTACCCTCGTCTACCCCCCCCCCCTCTCTTCTCTCCCCCCACCTCTCTGTCTAACCCCCCCCACCTCTCTCTTCTCCCCCCTCTACTCTCTGTCTACCCCCCCTCCCCACACCTCTCTTCTTCTCCCCCTCTACCTCCCCCCCCCCCCCTCCCCACCTCTCTCTCTCCCCGCCTACCCCCCCCCCCCCCCCCCCCCTCCCCCCACCTCTCTTCTTCTCCCCCTCTACTCTCTGTCTACAGGAGAGGTATGTGCAGCCCCTGGTTGCTGTTAAGCTGTTGCTGAACAAGGAGGACTACAACACGGAGCTGACCATAGAATGCCGGATCGAGGGATCCGACCTGCGCAACAACGACGACCGAGACAAGTTCCTGGGCCGCGTCACCTTCCGAATCACAGTCAAAGAGTAGGGAATAGTGAAGAGGAGGCTAGTGTGGAGAAATGTGGTTCTGACCTCCCCCGGAAGATTCCTGGTAGAATAAGATGGGCCTAATTACAAACCAATCCCTCCACCCTCACTCCATATCCTAGGCGAGGGACATTCAAACCTGGTATTTTTCACTTCACCTTGGTAGTTCATTGATTGGTCAGATAATCTACTCACCTGTTGTTATAGGTCAGTCTCTAGTTAGACAGGATGGGGAAGGATTCAAACCAGCAGTGCTGTGAACCCCGAATCCCAGATTTGAATACCCTTCTCTTAGGCTCTTGTTGACTCCATCTTGTATTTCTGATAGGGTTGGATATGTGTAAACATAGCACGAGTGCTAGATGAAGCAATTATCATATCATAGCTGATGCCAATCCATTCCTTTCAGATCTACAGTACATCACACCCAAAAAGGGCCTAGTGTAGTGCCTACAGATGTAGCATCTTAATTTGATCACTCTTTCATTGCTGAGAATTTTCCTGCACAGCAGGAAATGCAAACTTGTAGTGTATTTTAAAAAGGCTTCTAAGGTTTGTCATTTACACTTGGAGATTTCAGACTTGATTTGCCCTAATGAAAAATGTATCAAGCCCTACAAAAATGCCATTAATTATAATTCCGCATAATAAATCACATTTCCTGTTGCTGCAGGATTATCTTCCTGCTGTAGCAAACTGGCTCAAATTAAGATCCCAGATCTGTAGTGGTGGGGGTTGAGAGATTGGTTTGGGATTGGATCAAAGAAGGATAGGGCGGTGATGTCATCAATTTTCAACTTTCTCCTGGAAAAGCGGTAATCGTGCCAAATTTAATGGAACATCTAGTTCCCTTGTTTACTTCTATGTTTACTCTAGTATGACATCATCTTTGTCTTCTCTTTCATTATGTCATTCTAGCAGGAGTCTTTTCATGACTCACCAACCCTAACGGCCATCAGACCCTTCTATTAGTCGGCTTTTGTTGTCTGACCCAGTGCTCTAGTGTTGATCTAGGCTCAGATCTTATTTTCTATTCAACTGGTCTAGATTGGAGCTTAGATGTGGTAAGCTGAACCTAGATCTGGGCTTAGTACTAAGGGTTGGATCAACTGTCAGGAGTTGGCCTCAGTCAGTATTTCACTTTCAGTCATCCACTGTCAATACAACCATGTTTACAGTTGACCCTCTCATCTGAAAACAGAATAAATAATTATTCCTCAAAATCACATAGGGACCACTAAATCATGAGGTCAACCACATAGATAGTCAACCCCAGTTAAACACTGTCAAACCCAGATGCCCTCTACAATTCAATGTCATTTAGAACCCTTTTCCTCTTGGGACCACAATTTGAACCACATCATATTATAATAGAGAACTGTAGATATGTATGTGTGGTGTGGTCTGACCACAACCCAGTGCCGTCTGTCTGTCCGTCTGCATGTCTGTGTATCTGTTTACTCTACCCCTTACCTCGCCACTGTAATAGCCAATTTGTGGTGAGTGTTCGGATGCAAAATGGCTGCTGTGCATCACCCAGGTGCGTGCTACACATTGGTGGTTTATGAGGTGAGTTATCCTCCCTCAAACACACACACACACAAACACACCACATCACTCATTCACTTATAGTACCAGTCAAAAGTTTGGACACACCTACTCAATTCAAGGGTTTTTCTTTATTTTTACTATTTTCTACATTGTAGATTAATAGTGAAGACATCAAAACTATGTTAAACAAATCAAAATATATGTTATATTTGAGATTCTTCAAATAGCCACCCTTTGCCTTGATGACAGCTTTGCACACTCTTGGCATTCTCTCAACCAGCTTCACCTGGAATGCTTTTCCAACAGTCTTGAAGGAGTTCCCACATATGCTGAGCACTTGTTGGCTGCTTTTCCTTCACTCTGCCGTCCGACTCATCCCAAACCATCTCAATTGGGTTGAGGTCGGGGGATTGTGGAGACCAGGTTATCAGATGCAGCACTCCATCACTCTCCTTCTTGGTAAAATAGCCCTTACACAGCCTGGAGGTGTGTTGGGTCACTGTCCTGTTGAAAAACAAATGATAGTCCCACTAAGCCCAAACCAGATGGGCGTATCGCCAAATTTCAACCGTTCTAATATCCATTGCTCGTGTTTCTTGGCCCAAGCAGGTCTCTTGTTATTATTGGTGTCCTTTAGTAGTGGTTTCTTTGCAGCAATTCGACCATGAAGGCCTGATTCACACAGTCCCCTCTGAACAGTTGATGTTGAGATGTGTCTGTGACTTGAACTCTGTGAAGCATTTATTTGGGCTGCAATTTCTGAGGCTGGTAACTCTAATGAACTTATCCTCTGCAGCAGAGGTAACTCTGGGTCTTCCATTCCTGTGGCGGTCCTCATGAGAGCCAGTTTCATCATAGCGCTTGATGGATTTTGTGACTGCACTTGTAGAAACTTTCAAAGTTCTTGAAATGTTCCGTATTGGACTGTCATTGGACTGTCGTTTCTCTTTGCTTATTTGAGCTGTTCTTGCCATAATATGGACTTGGTCTTTTACCAAATAGAGCTATCTTCTGTAGACCCCCCTACCTTGTTACAAAACAACTGATTGGCTCAAACGCATTAAGAAGGAAAGAAATTCCACAAATTAACTTTTAAGAAGGCACACATGTTAATTGAAATTCATTCCAGGTGACTACCTCATGAAGCTGGTTGAGAGAATGCCAAGAGTGTGCAAAGCTGTCATCAAGGCAAAGGGTGGCTATTTGAAGAATCTCAAATATTACATATATTTTGATTTGTTTAACACTTTTTGGGTTACTACATGATTTCATATGTATTATTTCATAGTTTTGATGCCTTCACTATTATTCTACAATGTAAAAAAATAGTAAAAATTAAGAAAAACCCTTGAATGAGTAGGTGTGGCGATTGGAGACCTGCGAGAAAGCGCTGTAAATGCAATCCCATTGTATCTATGTACTGTATATACCTATCTTTGGGTCGAAAGCTTGTCTGTTTGTCTATTACTCTCCATCCGTCTGTCTTTCTCAATGTATATATTTAATGGATTCACACAGTATTTTTTTCTGTCACAGAACACAATGTCTGAGCCCTGTGTTGAAGAAACTATTTAAAAGAAGATTTACAGATTTTCAAAGCTATGTTACAGTCTAAAATGGAACCTACATATTGAAGGAACAACTTGTTAACATCTGCAGGATGCCTCAAGACCTGTGCAACAATTGTGGATTAAAAGGTGATTTTGGAGAAAAAAAAATCGAACCTGTGGTCTTATGTCTAGTAGCTCAGTTGGTAGAGCATGGCGCTTGCGACGCCAGGGTTGTGGGTTCGATTCCCACGGGGGACCAGTATGAAAAATGTATGCACTCACTAATTGTAAGTTTCTCTGGATAAGAGCGTCTGCTAAATGACTAAAATGTAAATGTAATAATGATTGTCAAGGTTTGGCATTTGAGTAGCATGTGGTATTCTACCTTTGCCACAAGAGGGCAGCAGCATTAAGGCAAAGCTCCATTGACTGAAGAGCCTTCCTGGCTTGCTTTAAAGACGTCCTCCTGGGCCCCCCGAGTGGCGCAGCGGTCTAAGTCAATGCAGTGCTTGAGGCGTCACTACAGATTCGGGTTCGATCCCGGGCTGTGTCGCAGCCGGGCCGCCATGAGGCGACGCACAATTGGCCCAGCATCGTCCGGGTTAGGGTTTGGCCGGCCGGGATGTCCTTGTCCCATCGAGCTCTAGTAACTCCTGTGGCGGGCCAGGCGCATGCAAGCTGACACGGTTGCCAGTTGTACGGTGTTTCCTCCGACACATTGGTGCGGCTGGTTAAGCAGTGCGGCACGGCTCTCGACCTTCGCCTCTCCTGACTCCGTACGGGAGTTGCAGCGATGGGACAAGACTAACTACAAATTGGGGAGAAAAAGGGGTAAAAATCAATTTACAAAATATGCCCTCCAGCAATTTGTTAACTTTTCCTGTTGAAAAGCGATATCAAATCAATTTGTATTTGTCACATACACGTGTTTAGCAGATGTTATTGCGGGTGTAGTGAAATGCTTGTGCTTCTAGCTCCGACAGTGCAGTAATATCTAACAAGTAATATCTAACAATTTCACAACATATACCCAATACACACAAATCTAAATAAGGAATGGAATTAAGAATATATACAGTGGGGGAAAAAAGTATTTAGTCAGCCACCAATTGTGCAAGTTCTCCCACTTAAAAAGATGAGAGAGGCCTGTAATTTTCATCATAGGTATACGTCAACTATGACAGACAAAATGAGAAAAAAAATCCAGAAAATCACATTGGAGGATTTTTAATGAATTTATTTGCAAATTATGGTGGAAAATAAGTATTTGGTCAATAACAAAAGTTTCTCAATACTTTGTTATATACCCTTTGTTGGCAATGACACAGGTCAAACGTTTTCTGTAAGTCTTCACAAGGTTTTCACACACTGTTGCTGGTATTTTGGTCTCCTTTGATCTCCTCTAGAGCAGTGATGTTTTGGGGCTGTCGCTGGGCAACACGGACTTTCAACTCCCTCCAAAGATTTTCTATGGGGTTGAGATCAGGAGACTGGCTAGGCCACTCCAGGACCTTGAAATGCTTCTTACGAAGCCACTCCTTCGTTGCCCGAGCGGTGTGTTTGGGATCATTGTCATGCTGAAAGACCCAGCCACGTTTAATCTTCAATGCCCTTGCTGATGGAAGGAGGTTTTCACTCAAAATCTCACGATACATGGCCCCATTCATTCTTTCCTTTACACGGATCAGTCGTCCTGGTCCCTTTGCAGAAAAACAGCCCCAAAGCATGATGTTTCCACCCCCATGCTTCACAGTAGGTATGGTGTTCTTTGGATGCAACTCAGCATTCTTTGTCCTCCAAACACGACGAGTTGAGTTTTTACCAAAAAGTTATATTTTGGTTTCATCTGACCATATGACATTCTCCCAATCCTCTTCTGGATCATCCAAATGCACTCTAGCAAACTTCAGATGGGCCTGGACATGTACTGGCTTAAGCAGGGGGACACGTCTGGCACTGCAGGATTTGAGTCCCTGGCGGCGTAGTGTGTTACTGATGGTAGGCTTTATTACTTTGGTCCCAGCTCTCTGCAGGTCATTCACTAGGTCCCCCTGTGTGGTTCTGGGATTTTTGCTCACCGTTCTTGTGATCATTTTGACCCCACGGGGTGAGATCTTGCGTGGAGCCCCAGATCGAGGGAGATTATCAGTGGTCTTGTATGTCTTCCATTTCCTAATAATTGCTCCCACAGTTGATTTCTTCAAACCAAGCTGCTTACCTATTGCAGATTCAGTCTTCCCA